AATTAAAATCAGAGCTGAAATCAATGAAATTGAAACAAAAGAAACATGAGAATTGACAGAACAAAAAGTTTTCTTTGAAAAAATAAATAAAATTGACAAACCATTAGCCATGCTAATGAAGAGAAGGAGAGAGGAAACTCAAATAACTTACATACATGATGAAAAAGGAAATATCACAACAGACACTACAGAAATACAGAAGATAATTAGAAATTATTATGAAAACTTGAACTCCAATAAAATAGAAAATATCAAAGGCATCAAAAAATTTCTAGAGTCATATAATTTGCCCAAATTGAATCAGGATGATATACACAATTTAAACAGATCAATTTCAAGTGATAAAATAGCAGATGCCATCAAAAGTCTACCAACTAAGCAAAGCCCAGGACTGGACAGATACACATCCAAGTTCTACAAGACCTTTAAAGAAGAACTAATAACAATACTCTTCAACTTATTTCAGAAAGTAGAAAAAGAGGCAGCACTTCCAAACTCATTCTATGAGGCCAATATCACTCTGATTCCAAAACCAGGCAAAGATACATCAAAAAAAGAAAAGTTCAGACCAGTATCTCTAATGAACATAGATGCAAAAATTCTCAATAAGATTCTGGCAAATTGAATGTGAGACATTTCAAAAAGATAGTGAACAAGGGTCAAGTGGGATTTATCCCAGGGATGCAAAGTTGGTTCAACACATGGAAATCAATAAATGTAATTCATCACATCAATAGACTTAAAGATAAAAATCATATGATCATCTCAATGATGCAGAAAAAGCATTTGACAAAATACAGCACCCTTTTATGTTCAAAACTCTAGAAAAACTAGAGATAACAGGAACATATTTCAACATCATAAAGGCTATCTATGCTAAGCTCCAGGCCAACATCATTTTAAGTGGAGAAAAATTGAAGGCATTCACTTTAAAAACTAGAATAGGACAGGGATAGCCTCTTTCACCTCTTGGATTTAACATAGTTCTTGAAAAACTGGCCAGAGCAATTAGAGGAAGAAATTAAAGGGATACACATAGGAAAAGAAGAACTCAAATTGGCACTATTCTATACCTAGAAGACCCAAAAAGTTCCACCAGAAAACTTCTAGCATTAGTAAATAAATTCAGCAAAGTAGCAGAATATAAAATCAACACCCATAAATCAAAGGCATTTCTGTATATCAGTGACAAATTCTCAGAAAGGGAAATGAGGAAAACTACCCCATTCTCAATAGCCTCAAAAAAAGTAAAATGAAATACTTGGTAATCAACTTAACAAAAGAGGTGAAAGATCTATATAATGAAAATTACAGAACCCTAAAGAAAGAAATCAAAGAAGACCTTAGAAGATGGAAAGGTCTACCTTGCTTTTGCATAGGCAGAATTAATATTATCAAAATGACCATACTTCCAAAATCACTATACAGATTTAATGCAATTATGATCAAAATTCCAATGACATTCCTCATAGAAATAGAAAAAGCAATCATGAAATTCATCTGGAAAAATAAGAGACCCAGAATAGCTAAAGCAATCCTTAGCAGGAAGAGTGAAGCAGGTGGCATCACTATACCAGACCTTAAACTACACTACAGAGCAATAGTAACAAAAAACAGCATGGTATTGGCACCAAAACAGACAGTAGACCAATTATACAGAATAGAGGACACAGAAATTAACCCATAAAACTACAATTATCTTATATTAGACAAAGGTGCCAAAAACATGCATTGGAGAAAAGATAGCCTCTTCAACAAATGGTGCTGTGAAAACTGGAAATCCATATGCAACAAAATGAAATTAAATCCCTATCTCTCACCATTCACAAAACTCAACTCAAAATGTATCAAGGACTTAGGAATACAACCAGAGACTCTGTGTCTAATAGAAGAAAAAGTAGGCCCTAATCTCCATCATGTGGGATTAGGCCTCAACTTCCTTAATAAGACCCCTGTGGTGCGAGAATTAAAATCAAGAATCAATAAATGAGATGGACTGAAACTAAAAAGTTTCTTCTCAGCAAAAGAAACAATCTGTGATAGAAAGCCTATCTATTGGGAGCAAATCTTTACCCTTTACACATCAGATAGAGCACTAATCTCTAGGGTATATAAAGAACTCAAAAAGCAAAACACCAAAAAAATAAAAAGTAAAAATAACCCAATCAATAAATGGGCCAAGGACCTGAATAGACTCTCCTCAGAAGATGATATACAATCAATTAACAAATACATGAAAAAAATGTTCGTCATCTCTAGCAATTAGAGAAATGCAAATCAAAACTACTCTAAGATTTCATCTCACTCCAATCGGAATGGCAGCTATTATGAAGACAAACAACAATAAGTGTTTGAGAGGATATGGGGGAAAAAGTTACACTCATACACTGCTGGTGGGACTGCAAATTGGTGCAGCCAATATGGAAAGCAGTATGGAGATTTCTTGGAAATCTGGGAATGGAACCACCATTTGACCCAGCTATCCCACTCCTTGGTCTATACCCAAAATACTTAAAAACAGCATACTCCAGGGACACAGCCTAATCAATGTTTATAGCAGCACAATTCACAATAGCTAAACTGTGGAACCATCCTAGGTGCCCTTCAATAAATGAATAGATAAAAAAAATGTGCCATATATACACAATGGAATATTACTCAGCAATAAAAGAGAATAAAGTCAAGGCATTTGCAGGTAAATGGATGGCAATGGAGAAGATAATGCTAAGTGAAGTTAGCCAATCCCCAAAAAGAAATGCCAAGTGTTTTCTGTGGTATAAGGAGGCTGATTCATAGTGGGATAGGGAGAGGGAGCATGGGAGAAATAGATGAACTATAGCTAGAGCAGAGGGATTGGAGGGGAAGAAAGGGGGCATGCGGTTATTAATGATGGTGGAATGTGATAATCATTATTATCCAAAGTACAGGTATGAAGACACTAATTGATGTGAATATACTGTGTATACAACCAGATATGAAAAACTGTGCTTTATGTATGTAGTAAGAATTATAATGCATTCTGTTGTCATATATAAATAAAAAATAAATTTAAAAAAAAACAATACAGAAAGACATCTCAGGACAATAAGATATATATATATATATATATATATATATATATATATATATATATACATACATACATACATATATATATGTTTTATGATATAAAATTACATTCATTACAATATCTATATAATATATGTATCTCATCACAATTGAAATTTTTTAAACCACATTTATATCTAAAAATATCAAAGAGTTCTTTCTGATATTTTATTTTACTTTTAAGGAGAAGAGAAAAATAGGCTCCATATTTTTCTTTAAGTATAATTACAATTACTTTAAGGAACTGTTTAAATTTTATATCTTTTTCAAAATATTGCCTCTGATCCAAGCTTCCTTTCTTCATCATTGACGTGAACATTGAAACCTGGGGGCCATTAACTTTAGGCCCAAGACGGATCTTAATGATGGAAATTGCTGGTCATCTGGTCTGGCCAGCCACCTTTTGGGTCAATAACATGACCCATTTACTCCCAGTAATAGTTAGCATTCACTCACAGAGCTGCAGCTTGCATTTATTTTTTTTCCCATGAAACAGAATCAGGAGAGGGAACCCATTAAGTGCTGCTAAAAACTGCCTACAGTCCGGCTGTCCTTTTCTGGCTAAGAAATATTAGTTACTTCGTCTGCTTTTTGATCTATGACAGTACTTCTTAGAGAAACCCAACAGGTTAAGATTAAATATCAAAAAAAGTGTCCTTTTCAGTTTTCAAAGTGGGAACTATCACTTATGTTTTAATTCTTTTAATGAGCATTACCTATTTATTAAAATTAATAACTTTAGAAAAGTGGTTGTTTGTTATGGGGATGTGGATGCTCTATTACTGAGTTAAAGCAGAGTTGAAATTTTAACACAACTATAGGAATAAACAATGAATCTGTTTAAAATGAGCTGGGAAGGCCAGCAGGAAAAAAAATTTTTCTCCCTCTTATTAGTCAAATAATCAGGTAATGAGTTAATGTCATTCATTTGTTTAAAGAGTCATTTGTTCAACAAATATGCATGGGTGCTAACTATATGACAGCATCAAACTTTCTGTCAAGATTAAAATCTAGTGAATAGTCCATTGAATTGTGATATGTATTCTTTTTTTTTCTTTTTGTTTTTCTTTCTTTCTTAACCCTGATGGAAAAAGTGGACAGAGGTCAGAAAGTGATGGAAATGGCAGGAGGGAGTATCTGTGTTCTGTGGAGGGTATTCTCACCCACCTTCTATCTTATCCCCCTCCTTCCTCTGTATACAGAATAGGATCGTGATCCTAAACAAATCTGGATGCACAGTAACCTTTCACTTACCTGGAGATTAGAATTCCAGCAACTTTACACATAGTCAATAGTAATCAACAAAGAACAAGAATTCTAATAGTTCACGACTAATAATCCCCCACACATCTCTGTTAAACCAAGATTGAGGGTAAAGTAATTTGAGCATCTGAAGTTTTTATTCAACTGAAAGGAAGGAAAAGAAATTGTTTTCACATCCACTATAGTCTAGATGTTCATTTAGTGAGTTTGATTACATGATTAGAGGTATTCAATACTTCATCGGGGCCAAGTATTGTCACTGTGTTTACATAGGAAATTTAAAGCCTCAGAGACAGTAAGGTGAAACTGACTTTGAACCCTTGTGTGAGCTCAGAGCTCAGGAAACTACAACACCATGAAGATTATCTTTAGATGATTGCACTATGATATTTCTGTTCATATGTATGCAACTGATTACAGGAACCCAGTTCTATATAACTTGAATATAGAATCAAATTATGGAAAAAAGCAAACAATACTGAGGAGGAAATTAAAGATTTAAAAACATAATTTGAGAAAGAGAAATAAAAGTGAGTTTAACAATTCAGATGTTCAAATTTGCTTTCAAAACGCCACAATTTTTGTTTTAGTATGGAGCAAACTTTTTCAAGGAATATAGGGCTACTTACCTACCCAGGGCTTCTGTCCTGCCCAGCCTTGTTCTTTTCACTTTATTTGTGGTGTCTTTAGGATGCTGGAGTCAGTGCCTTGTTTATGAAAAGGACAGGAAAGCCTCAGTTCTAAAGCTAATCCCTGTGTGTGGCCCACTATATTTCTTAACCTCCAGAAATGGGAACCCAGTATGGTTTAGAGAACACCTTGGTATCTTTCCCTATTACTTAATTTTAACTACATGTTTTTCCTATTATAGCATTATCATTTTATTATATGCTTATAGAATTCTCATTTGTATAAAAACAATAATAGGATCAGGAAAATATAAATTATTGTTTTAATTTTTCTCTCACATGCCAAACCCTACTTGGGGTATTAACAACAAGAATATGCTCCTTGGGTCCTTGATAATTTTTTCTTCCTGCTCTCTGCAATTATGAGCTTCTCTTATATCTTTCTTCCTCTTCCTTAGTGGTAGTTTTACAATGTGCCTATTGATTTCTCTGTCTAGCAAGGTATGCTTTATCATATTAATTTGAAATCTCTTTTCATTTCTGTAGAGTTAATATTGTCTCTTTGATCTATTTCATTATTTTAGATTTTGTCCAAGGTCACATTGCAAATCTAGAGGCCACAGACATGTAAAATATTATTTCCATATTATCGTTATGTCATGTAAACAAATATATTTTTCTTATGTGTTGTGAAGATAAATTGAAATGACAAAGTGATAGAGAGATGGCAATGTTCAACTTGGTCTGGATTACAGGAATGTCAACTTTGTTTTCCTTTTTGTTGGTTTATTCAACTTAAGTTATTCCTTCGGTTTGTTTCATTCATTCACTTAAAAAAGCAAATTAATTTTAGTATTTTCATAAAATAATAAAACACAATGCTCTAAACATATTAGAAACTAGACAAAGGAGAAAAGAAAATCTAGCTCACTAATTTCAGCTCAAATCAAATTAACATGGCTATGAGGAATCAAATGTCATTTAATATTCTGTCTTTATCATGTCAAAAATCATTACAATTTCTAAGTGATTGTTGCATAAAATGTCTGTGGTAGACAAATATCTAGTTCAACTTGTGGAAGGAAAGTAAAAAAAAAAGAAAAGACAAGAAAAAAAGAAAAGATCAGCCTGAAAAAAAATGTGATTATATTCCTTTTATATTTATTTATTTTTAATTCTGTAACATTGAATTTCTACCGCATATCTTTTTTTCTGACTACTCTGTTCCTATGTTTTCACTTTTTCAACCTGGAGAGGTGTCTACAGAGTATGAAGAGAAAGGACGGTGTGAGTGTTTGGGTAAGTTTCTAATTTTGGAACTGCAGCATAAACATGCTTAAAACTAATTTATCATTAGTATAACAGTCCTTACAATAAAAATTAAATGCAGCTTTATTATGATGTGCAGAGAAAAATAAAAATACAACAAACATATATGTGCACATTTTGGAAATGCAGGTGGTCTTTCTTTTCTATTTAAAACTTCTCCTGCTTGGGGGTAATAAAAGTTCTATAATCATAGTATCATGGCTCTTGTTAAAATTCTTGCTAGATATTATCTACTATAATCAAAATAACTAATGATAAATAAATATATGGATCATATTAAAATTTTAAAAGAATTTTGTAACTATTTCTAAAATTTTAATTTGAAATTATACCCAAAATCTTTGTATTATTCTCTATAAAAGTGTTTTTAATTTAACAAAGCACAAAAGCACATAGTAAAAGGCACATTCTGCTGAGAAATTCAGGCAGATAAAAGAACATTAAGAGTCAAGTCACTAGAGAAGACCAGGATGAGGTATTTGTCACCCAAAGGGTTTAATTTCCTGACCTCTGAATATATCATTGAGAAACAGAAAGGAACAAAATTGTGTTGCCAGACATGCTGCTTAAGTTGCCATCCGGAGCCTTGAGACCCACAATCTCAATTGGTTTTTAAGGGAACATCCTGTTCAAATAATGATTATGTGCTTCACATCCATCCTCATTCAGGAAAAGGTTTATTATGACTCATTTATTTTCTTAGGAAAAAAAAGTGTATCAACATCTCAACTTATGCTGAAATGAATAATAATAATAATAAAAGTCTGTAACACCAAAGGACCTGCAGCAGCATAGTGTTTTCAATCAAACCAAATAACCAATTTTTCCTCAATTGGGTTTTCAGACCAATTCTGCTCCAACACCCATAGCATGAATCTATATGCTTTCAATTATTTAAAATTGAGTAAATGTGTTGGCTGGGGCCACTGAAACACATGGACAACATTCAAATCTTTGCTTTCTAATTTCCTGGACTTCTTAATCTATGTGGTATTCACACAATAACTGAAATGAACTTCAGATTTGCTACTTAAGTTTTCTTTCTAGCTCTATACCTCCTGAGATAAATTCAACCTACAGGTCTACCATGATGCACTGATCAATCATCTTTTGTCAAACATGATTTTCTTTATAGGCATAAAAGCTGAAGTTAGGTACTGTTTTCTTATCTCTTTTAATTCCTAATTCAGCTCTCTCTCATGTGTCGGGTTAATTAACTAGGTTCTAACCACAATCTCCTGGCCCTGTGCCTTCTCTCTCATTGGGACCCAGGGAGTGGTTTCCTTCTACCACTTACATTTATCAGGGAAAACGATTCTGAAAAACTACATCTAAGACAGTTTCTGGTATGCAAGTTTGCAGAACCGGTTTGTCCTTTCCAAAGGACAATGTTATCCTACATAAGATTGAGCCTGGGGAAAGAGAAGGAGCATGCTGAATGTAATTAGGAAGTAGGTATGAATTTGCTTAATTTTCTATTCCACAGGAGGCCTAGAATAAAAGGGTAAGAATATATAAACATCCTGATCAGAAAGAAAGGGAAAATACTCTTTTCCTTAATTTCTCCTTTACTTTTTAAAGAGCTGTGAGCAGAGTCATGAATGTGAGTCTTTTCTTTCTAAAAGGGCTGGTATTCAAGAATATCTTTGAGAAAGCTAATGTCTGGTTTCAAAATCACTACTTCTGGAAAGCTGCTGACATCTAGGAAGAGGGAGGGAAGTTGAGAGTAACGAAGATATGGAGGTAGGAATGCCTTCACCAGAAGAAGCTTATCAGACCAACTTTGCTTTTGCTCTTGAGGTTCTATATACCCTGGCTAGTGAAGGAAGCCTGGGTGATGAACCAAGTTTCCTACTGTGCTTTTGAAGAGCATGACATTGTCTGGAAGGATCTGGGTCTTTCTGGGTCTTTCACTTTCTTTGTGGTTCTTTGCGTTCTTGAATGGTTCATTGACTGAAGTCATTTCTTTCGCATGGAAAGAACACCATGGATGGCAAACCTCATGTGGAAGTCCTTGGGGATTTATTCCTCTTCTGTAGGAGATCAGAAATATGTCTTATGAACCCAAGGGTTCTATGAGGTAGACAGTTGGTGTGGCATCCTTAAATATGAAATCAGATGAGGAGGAGGACCAAGGAGAGGGTTAAACACATTTGTGCACAGTTCTGACATTATTAAAATTCAAGGAATGAATCTGCAAGAAAAAAATAAATGAGAAAGGAGAGAGTCCAATTGCAAGTGTATTATTCTTGTTTCCCCTGAAGTATGATTAGAAGGGACTAGACAATGTCTGTCATCATGTACATGACTTACGGCAATTTATTACTTTCAGCAATAGTTTCTTTTATTGAGTTAATAGGTAAGAATATAATCCATACCTGTTAGAGGTCACAGCACTAAATCAGCAGGAGATATAAAAAGGTGGAAATAAAATTACTGCAATGGACCTAATTGACCTTTACCTCTAATTGACACTAATTTGGAAAGGGTACCAGGTCAGCCAAATTTTTATCAATTAAGGTATTTTAGGAAATGTCAATGTCTTGCTAATAACCTGGAATTCTTTATATCACTATATTCTTCTAAAAGTGGGAGGCAGTAGTCACAGTTCCTTAGAGCCCAACATCCAGCTCCTATATTATCTTGATGAGCTTAGAGGCCACTCAGTTGCCTGGTTCACCCACTATCCCTTACTGCAGACTCCAGTTTCTACACCTAACACTGTGCTGTGCTCCTCACATGCCTTCTAGGCCCCTTTCTTCTTCTTGAAGCTCAAGATATATTTTCAGTCTAGTATATCTTCATTTTTTGAATTTTAGAAATATTCCAAAAGCTTCATCTTGGAGTCCTCAATAGCCCAGGAAAAAAAGAAATATGACAACTGTTTTCATTGGTCACTTTAAGGGCAGAGTTGAGGACAAAGAGGCTGAATAGGCTTTGCCTTTTAATTCTTCAGATATATATATAATTTTAATGCTAACACATTACCACTGGAAGTTCAAAGAAAGACTGTGGTGGTAATGGCGAAATTTTAGTGGGAGAAATAAACATCCAATGATAGAGGGTATTTAGAACCTTGGGATTCTTGTGTAATTGCAAGCATGTTACATCAAGTGGGTAACAGTTTCCAGGTTTAATATGGAATGTAGTTGTGAAAAAGAAGTGAATCATACTTTAGTTATGTGACATGAACAAAGAGATACCACTAACAAACACTGAGGCAGGTGGGGACCTATTGGGGGCTACACTGTGCTTCTGCCAATCAGTCTGACTTAGGGAAAAACTTGGAGGACTCTGTATTTCATTACCTCTCACATTTGCTTAGTTTCTGTGGGTCATGTTCATTTCTCTAGGTACTTACCTGTTTCAGGGTCCTCTTAGGGTTCATACTTAGGGGTCTGGAATCTCAGTTAACTCTTCCTCAAAGTAATTACTTCCTCCAAAGAGTGGCTATGTAAATTCCATTGGTGTTCCAAGCACACACCTTTGAATCCCCTACTTGAAGGCCATTGCCTTCAATCTGAGTCCTGCTGTGTGCAAAGTGTTCATAGAGAGTAAAAGGCATATTCTTGTCTGATCTGATATAATTAGCTTCCTCTGTGCTCATCTCACTGAAATATAGCTCTTCTTTCCACTTAATCTGTTTCTTATTCCCTTTAAAGGTTTAAAGAATGAGCACTGCCCTCTCTATGTACTTCCAAGAACACAGAGTATTATTACAAAACAGATAGCCTTAAGATTCTATTTTCTCTCTGGCCTGAATTTGTTCAGTCACTTTTTATATATGTTACTTACACTCTTAAATTATGGTCTTTTTATCCATTGTGTGGGGATAATAGAAGTATTTACATTATAGGAATATTGTGAAGATTCATAAAATAATGCTTGTAAAATCTTAGTGTATGGTGTATAATAGGAGCTTAAACATTATTAGCCTGCAATCCCCATAGAGAATAACTTTGAAGTGCTCTACCCTCCCTCACGCCTCTGTGGTAAATGGCTTGCTGTTTGGCCATGACACTTTACAGTATGTTGTATATCCAGGTCCTGTTGAACTCAGGAGGATTCATGCTTCTACCAATAAAAAGTGATTATGAATGATAGGTGTCTCTCAAGAAGTTTTTAGGGTCAGAACACAGCTGGTCAAGTATCTTTCCTTTTTATGATGACTAAGAATATTGTGTAAAAAAAGATACTTCTTCAGTCTAGGTTTCAGAGTAAGGGTAAGATGAGGAGCTATAGCCATGTCAAACAACAATGGACACAGACCATGAGTGAAATGTAAACCATTGTGAGATTTGGAAAGTCATTGTTTGGCTGCAGAGTTATCCAGCTCATCTTCACTTGGAGAAAATTCAACTTTCCAAATTCTCTCCTTTGACCTCTAATTCTTTTCTGAAAGTTATTTCTTTATCATCTTATCCAATCCATCTCATTATATAAAAATATGCCTGCTGTCCCTGGTCCTATATTATACATCTTCAGATACTGCAAGTAGATCGCATGATAAGCTAACTTTAAGGTAAAAGAGCTGGAGGAAGCCTCATAATGTATACTTTCCCTCCAGAAAAAAAAAATACTTTTTCCAGACAATAATAATTGCTTAATTGGTGGAAATTCCTTACCATGACCCACCTGAATCCTGCTAATGGGATGCAGGGAATCTGATTTTGATTTTATGAAACACCACCAAGGCTTGCATAAGTCCTTAAACCCTGGGAGGCAAGTGATATTACCTTTCTAGCATGTAATAATTTTACAGAAGCCTTTCTGTGTGATAAAGAAGCACTAATGTGCAGATCAAATCTCAAAACTTCTGCTTTAAGGAAAATGAAAGGTAGGTTTTAGCTAGGGAAGCAATGCCAAAAATACATAGTGTTCATTCTGTGACTCATGCATGCTTAGTGATGATCAACATTTTATTAAAATAACTAAAATTTAATCTTCTTAAAACTCACTAATATTTATAACTTAAGGAAACATTAATTGTGGGAATCTTATGAGACCTACTACAGTGTGCAGAAATTTTTATTCCTTCTGGCTGGAAGTTGAGTTAAACTGAAGCAGTTGTTTTGAATGGTGACAAAATAGCATAAGTTTGATCCTTGACACCCTGATGAATTAGCCCTGGAACACTTAGGCTCAGATTGATAATTCAGAGAAAAGTGAAATGATATCTTGTTCTGGCTGCTGAAATGTGGCCTCGGTCTAACAGCTGAATGTGTACCCTAACCAAGTCAGGTTGCCTTTGCCTTGGTCCTCTCTCCAAAGAGAGCAACAACTCTGCTCTAGCTCCTTATCTTTGGCACTTATTTGGCTGAAGTAGTCAACTAGACCCAGCTCATGGGACAGACAATGTGAAGCACACTTCTGTAGAGGCTGCTGTTTTCTGAATTGTACCTTAGGTTCTTAAAAACTAAACAAATAAATGAAAGGTCACTTCTGGTCATTCATAATTTAACTTCAATTTATTTTATTATTGACCATGGAGTTTAATCTGTTTTTCCAAGTTGAGTTTGAGATGCACACTGAACACTGTCATCAAGAATTGATATTCCACCACATGAGGGCCAATTTCTCCAGTATTTCCCTTATCTGCAAGATCCTTAGCAGGGAAGCAATCGTAATGAACTAGTTCCAAATGTGATTATTCCCTTTGCAAATTATGGACACTCTAACAATAGAATCCTTTAAACCTTACCCACTTTGTTAGATAAATAAATCCATGAGGTAAATGAGAATCAGAATGCTGTCAGGTTATTTCGGAGAAGCCACATAACCATGGAAAGAGCACTAGGTTAGGAGTCAGATGAGCATTGTGTCTGCCTTGGTGACCCTGTCTTACATACCATGTGACCCTGAGCATACTAAGAAGGTTGAGGGAGGTTACGGGAGAGGAAGTTGCTTAATCCAGAGAATACCCAAGGACGATTTAGATTTCTGAAATATTTGAAGAGCTCTTGAATATAAAATACATTATGCTGTGAATTTGTATAGCAGAAGTTGTAAAACATGGAAGACAGATTTGTATATTTATAAAGAGTCTTTCTCCCAGTTAGTCTAGTTTAGCAATGGATTATTCTGCTTCTGAAGTTTGAAGTTTTCTGACACAGGAAGTGTCTAAAACAATGTGCTGTATCAGGATCACCCTGGTATTCTCTGCACTTACTTATCTGAAAAGAAGATTAATAATAAAGAATGCTTAGCTTATTTATGAAATGAGCTTTTTGAATATCTAATATTCAGCATGCATTGTAATGCACCTTGCCGCTCTAAGATGATAACATTGATAGACAAGAAAAAAAAAAAAAGCTAAATGTCTGAATGCTGCCAAAGACATTGACACGCCTTCTTCCTGTGAAGTTGCCAAAGGAGATGATGAACATGCAGCAAAGGCAAGAAAGGCACTTGCTGGTTCTTGAATTTAACTTGCATCTGGAGGAGAAAGCAGAGCCCAAAGCAGGTGGCCCTGAACAATAGCTCTGTCTCCAGTAAAGCTTGTCTCCCTCCACAGGCAGGCATTATTCCCTCAAACAGAAGCATCTATTTATCATTTTAAAGTCTTCCTACTTGTGATGTAAACTTGAGTAGAAAAAGGCAGTGGTGTAACAAGATTTCAGTTTCCTTCTCATCTCTTGACAGGACACCTGGAGGACACTATCCTGGGGCACTCCACAAGATAGGAGTCCAGGACCAAAGCTTCACATCAATGAACTAACTACCTCTGACCTTCCTATGGGGAGTCTCCTTACTTCCATTGAGTTCGGACACAGTTTGTGTTCCTCTTTTATGTAATTTGGACACCGATGAGTTGGATGATGTGGATTTACTTGAAACTTTTAGTAAATTTTGAAAAGACTTGGATAATTCTTACTATTAGTTTGATTGTATATTACACCATTTGTAATTAGATTTTTTTTAATGTAGAACTATTACCCTGCTAAATTAATAAATATCTGCATTTACTCAATTAGTTAGGGTAGAGTGAAATGTTCAGGCTAACTAGCTAAAAAGACAGTGCTGTCCATGCCTATGAAAATATTTAAAGGAATGCTTTCTACAAAATCTCAATTCTTTTTATTTGACTGATTATTTAAGTTTGTTGCTTTGGCCTAACCATGTGATATTTGATGGGATATTTCAAGTGGTTTCTGTTTGTGGATGATTTTTTTTGTAAATCTTGAAGGGAGATTGAATTTTCCTTTTATTTTTAAGCAGTTGAAATTTAAGTAATGACAAAGGGGAAACATCCTACACATTTACAATTGGGGTCCATTTCTGAGGTGCTTGCGTCATAAACCAACAAGTAGACAAGTTAATGAATAAGTACACAAATAAATAACCATTCCTCAGCCTGAGGGACAGAAATATAAATATATGACTTGATATGATCATATGCAACTTGATAAATCAAATAGAGCAGAAAAAAAGAGGAAATTCAAGAATAAGTCCTTATATTAGAACAAGGTCAAAAGAGAGAATTAAGTTGGAGACATAAACTTAATCTTCTGGCCTTTTTGGAGGAAAAAAAAATAATTTGTCTTAGAAATAGATATTACACTCTACTTCACTGTATTTTCCCCTGAATACTCATAAAAAAATTATAACATACATCTGTACAGAAGTCTGAACAGACTTATAACTCCAAATTTTCTGTCTCTAACATGGTTCCCCACTAAACACAATCAGAACTCATTGCAAAGTGACCACTCCTGTGTTTGGAACAAGAGAAAATTACAATAACTCATGGGTATTTTTTTTTTCTTCAAAAAATAGAGGATATTTTTCAGAGATATTTAGCTAAACTATTTTTTAGAATATAAATATCAGATCCTTAATTGCTTGAGCATGTTACTAGCATATACATGTACACACAAAAAATACAAACAATAACAATAATTATGATTATGCAAATTTAAATTCTCAAGGTATATAAAGGTCTGAAAGTCCATAGAGTTTTTTCAAAGCAGATAGATGTAAAGCATGCTAAGAAATATCTCTGCCTCCCAGGGTAAAGAAGTGGATAGTTGTTTCTAATTCCATGGTCCATTTAGGGCAAGAAATGACAGGGAACAAATTTTAATTGTGTTTCTTTAACCAAACTTGGTCTGAGAACCTCCTAAATAAAAAGCTTTAAAGTGAAATTTGCTTAGAGAGAAGAGATTGTTGAAAGTGGCCAGTTCTCTGACGCAATGAAAACTCTCCCTATTATTTCAAACACTCAGTAAGAAGCCTCTCACAAGGAAAAGGTAAAATAATATTGAATTTGGGTGGTGGAATGTAAGACAAAGTTCTTATTCTGGGGTATGGGTACTTTAAAAGCTTATTTTTGATTCAAGAAACAGAAAAAGGTGATGTTTCTAAATGTGTCTAATGAACTTATAGAGTTTTAGTGTAAATCTTTAAAATAGTAACCTAGGGCTGTGGTTGTGGCTCAGTGGTAGAGTGCTCGCCTAGCAAGTGTGAGGCCCTGGGTTCGAACCTCAGCACCACATGAAAATAAATAAATAGAATAAAGGTATTGTGTCCAACTTCAACTAAAAAATAAATATAAAAAAAATAGTAACCTAAATCTACATTTTTAAGGGAGACATTGGCTGCTTCTTCAGATTTGGTAGGCCCCTACCTTTGAGGGGCAAGACAGAAGTACCACAGAGGTTCACGATGTCTCCTCTCTGTGTAGTAGTTGCCTGTGTGCATAACATTCAATATCTTTGTTCAAATAAACTGCTACCTTATAAAGAGTAGAGTTGTAAGTTTTGTTGGATGATTTATTTCTGCCCATCTCTATATCAGCTCATTTGTGATTCAGAGCTTTCTTGTATAGTGAACTGAAATATAGTACTAAGGCCTAAAGCAAACAAATATTTCACTTTTCCTAAGCCAACAACTGGCTCTAGAGAAAAAAGGAATGAGCATGCTCAGTACAGGGCATCACAATGGAGAATTCATGAGCTGTTTTGGCTGCCTTCCAACAAATGATGAACACCCACTCCATTTCCCACTGCAGAAACATGGGAACAGAAAGTTAGAAACAGTTACACAAAGAGAAGCTAAGTTGGCTGTGTCCCTTGACCTGGCATGCCTTCTTTTTCCCTCTAACCTCATTGAAGGAGAAGCCAAGAGGGAGTTCCTCCCTCAGGACAGAATCACTTCCCCAAATCAATGTATGCATGTGGTCACACTGATATCCTGGAACCCTGCATCAGGTTAGTAGGAGAGGGGGAAGAAGAGGGGGAGGAGGAAGGAGAAAAGCAGAAGAGAGAGAGAGGGGAAGAAGGAGGAAGAGGAAGAAGAAGAAGGAGAGGAGGAGAAAAGGCCTAGGAAAGATTCATCTGAGCTAGAAATAAAGAGAATCTCCCACTTCCTCTCTCACATACACATGCACCCGGATAACTGTCTTAGTTGTGCATGTTTCTTCTTGGCCTTCGTAGCTTACAGGAGGCATCATGGACATAGGAGGTCAGCAGCATTGCCAAGCCCTCTGTCATTCCTGTAAGGTGACTTTCCTTGTCTGTGCTGTTTCTACCTACCACTTACAACTTTCAGTAGGATTCTGAAGTTACCAGGACTTTACAGTGTTGATGTTTAATTAAGTGGGGTTGAGTTTTTCCCCTAAACAAGTATTTGCCTCATCCATTTATCATCGTGGCACATGTGTCTTACTCTAAAGGGCCCAATAAAAGGCATGATCGTATAATATCAGTCACAATAAAGTGTCTGAAATTTGGAGGATATTGACCACTAGTGCCCATATTTATTTGGATAAAGTTAACATATTAATATCCCCTTATCATTAGAAAAGTAAAATACAAAACATATATTTTAACATTCACAGAATCTAGCTCTAGCCATGAAATCATTCCAAGCCAGTCTAAAATCACTGACCTAAGTCAGGGTCTTTCATTAGCAGCTTCATTCAGAGCCATTTTCCACTGCAATTTTTGTAGGTTTTTCATTAACTCCATACTTGAGATCAAGCCAATCCTAAAATTCTCATGATATCCACTTACCTAAAATTATGAATAAATATTACAATAGTACTTTCTCTCTCCTCCCCAATTTAGAAAAAAGAAATAATATCCAGCCAGTATAATAGATTGTGATATAAGATTTGAGTCCATCATCTGAGTAGGAATAACCCTAAACTCCATTACATATTTTGCTATAGATCTAAAAGTATGGAAAGGAGAATGGCAACATCAGCAAGGACAACAGGAAATTAGGAAATCCTGGTTTCTAGTTCACAGGAATGCCAGGGGAGGTTTTGTGGTATATGTTATCTACAACCCATGAAATTAAATTCAAGGAGATGACAGTTCCATCAAAGAGTTCATTGCACTTGGACATCCTCCCTTCTCTCTCAGAGAGTGGCTGATTAATGAACAGTCTTTTCCGTTATATTGCAACTCTTTTAGTGAATATACAGCTTCACCTCCTCAGTGAAACTTGTCCATGTCTCAATCACCAGCATCTGTTATGTGTTACCTTACATAACAAAAGGGGCTTTGTGGTTAAGTATATTGAAATGGGCAGTGACCCCACATTGTCCAGGGAGGGCAACTTAATCACAATATATCAGAAGACTTTAGACAAAAAAAAAAAAAAAGACTTTAGAAGGAAAGAAGCAGAATAGTCAGAGAAGGAGATGGGAATAGAAGCAGAGGTCACAGTGACACAGAGCCATGTGCCAATAAAGTGGGCAGCCTCCAGAAGGGAAAAGGTGGGAAGAATGATTCTCCCCTAGAGCCTCCAGAAGTGGGGACCTGCCTACACCTTGATCATTAAGCTCCATGAAACCCACTTTAGACTATGACCTCCAGAAATGGAAGACATTAAATTTGCATGGTGATCAGCAATTGAATTGTGGTAATTTGTTGGAAAAACAATAGGAAATTAATCCATTTCCTACTTGTGCTCCCTTCATGGTAGATACTCTAATTAACAATTATTTTATTTATTGCCCCATAGACTTACTGTCTCTTTCCTAATAGCAAATAAGCTTTATGAAGTCTGGACTCTATGTCCTAATTAATTTATTTCATTCTCATTGAGCACATAGTATGATATTTAATAGGGTCAAAAGAAATATTTTTGAGTGAGTTTAGATGAATACAGGCTAAGATTATATTATTAAAATATGAGCCAACAAAATAGCCCTTTTATTTCCAATGAAAGCTATTGCCAAACCTGTTCATCTAGCAGTGGAATAATGAATTACAAGCATTACCTGCCTATACTGTGCAGATTTCAATTATGAAACCTCAATTGTGCTTCAATTATTAACTCACATGTCTGCATTCTTTAGTAGCCAGCAACAATCCTTAAGAACAAAAAATGCTGTATTTTTGTTTTGAATTCCTAGATTCTTATTCATGGCTGCTATTTATTAGACATGCTATCAATATATACGTAATGAATGAAAATAAATGAGGAAATGTATTATGATTAAATTAATTAATTCATATTTACCCTGATTACAATTCTGTGCATGACTTAATTTTGAATTTTAAACTGATTACCCTAATTATAATATATTTGTCTAAATCATTTTTATTCACAAATTTGCTATGTTTGACATTTATTCTTCCTTTCTAACATTCACATCTTACAATGTATACTGGATTGTTCTCAACACAGCAATCATTACTGTGTGTGATATGGTGTATAAAAGCAAAGGAGATGGACAAGGACACTCTTGGGGACTCATTTTAAAGTAGAGAAAGACAGAGAGGAAGTAAGTAATTGAAAATATCAGTTAGTGATGAGTGCTTTGTAAAGGAACCACCTTACCTCAATAAACTTGTTTTTATTTTGCTGTATTACAGGCGTTGTCTGCTTGAAAGGAAACAGCTATATTTCCTTGTCCTTGTTTTCATTTATGGCATTCTGATTTGCACACTTCCGATTTTATGCTGTTCTGCAGGCATGGGATGCCCTTCCCTGCCTTGCATTTGCATGTGAAATAGCTTGGCTTTTGAAATGGAGGAGTGAGTTTAAATTTGATCTCTTCCTAGTATTAACTACTGACTTCCTGTGAGAAGTTTTAATGTGAGTAAGGCCAGTTTTCCATCTGTAAAATGGAAATCTAGCACTAACATCTTTTTCACAGGGATGCTGAGTGAACAATGCCCTGTTGTTTGTAAAGCATCCACCACAATGTCTGGTACATAGTAGGCTCTCTTTAATAATAGATGATCCTCCTTTTCCTCCTCCTCCTCCTCCTCCTCCTCCTCCTCCTCCTCCTTCTTTTTTCATTTGTACATTCAACAGTCATTGAAAGCCCAGAACACTTATAAATCCATCTTTTTCTGAAATCCCATTATAGCATTGTTTGTACTGCCATTTAGTGAATTTTCTAGTCTCTTTTATTGGCATATATTTTTCCTGTGCTTATACTTTTGTCCTTTAACTTGTCATATACCTATGAAATCAGACCCTCCCTCAATATTAACCTCCTTGCCTTCTGACTGGGCACAATGGTATAAAAAGAAGTGGATGTGATACAAGAGACCTGGACTGGGAATGAGAAACTCTAAATTTTCCCTGGAATTCATCTCATACTTTTAGCCATTGTGCAGGTTCATTATTCACTAGAGGATGCTGCTGTTCCTCTCTCATACCTTCAAACTTCCAAAGTACTTGTAAACAAAGTTTAAAAAGTTCAAAGAGCATACAGCCCAACACCCACATTCAGAGCTGTATAAAATAATAACACTAATCTAACAATCAATACAACATACTTAATTCTTATTACACACCAAACCACCTGCCATCAATTCTGCTTCCAGTTCTTAGGGAAAGCCTGACATAATGATGAAACAGATTCAGTAGCCAGACCACCTGGGTTTGAATTCCAAGTGTGCCACTTACTTGCTGTGTGATTTGGGGTACATGCTTAAGCTTTAACCTGTGCTTCGTTTTTCTTGTTTTTGTTTTTTCATCTATAAAATGGTCTTAATAATACTATCTACTTCATAGGAGCACCATATATATTAAATGAGTAAAAAGTTGAAATGTGCATGTATATAGCATATATAAATGTTTGGGAAAAAGTTTTGAAATTTAATCCACACAAGAACATATTATTGTTATGCCCATTTCATAGTTAAAGTGGATGAGGCTAAGTAACTTTTCCAAGGTGATAAAACATGTAAGCAAAAGAGCAGAGACTTTAAACACCCATGTGTAACTTAAATTCAACAGAAGCTCATCATGAGGTGAGAGAGATTTGGCAAAGTCTGGAGACATGTTTGGTAGCCACAATGGGGAGAATTTTACCTGCTTCTAGTAGGTAAAAGCTAACAATCCTGTAATGCAGAGGATGCCTTCCACCATAGAGACTAATCTGGCCCATATGCCATAATGTTCCCAGAGAAGATACAGGACATCAATTAAACTTAAATTTCAATTAAACAACAAATACATTTAGCATAAATATGCCTCAAATATTTAGATGAAAAAGGTCCCATACCATATATGGGACATATTTAATTGTGAGTGAATTTTCTAGTCTCTGTATTTTTGTTTACTAAATCATTTAAAGTATAAAATATCTCACAAGTTCTTCATAAGAATCACCTCCATTGGTGACACATGATTCCCTCTAATTTTAGGGAGAAAAATGAGACTTAGAAAGAATGCTATTTGTCCATGATCATGGAGATTGAAAGTGGTAAAACTGGTACCAAACGCAGTAATTCTCTAATTCCTAGACTAATGGCATTTGAATGCAGTCAATCAGCCTGTAGTTTATCAACTTAGAAATTTGATATATGACACATGGCAACAGAGAAACAAGTGGCTCAGAACAGAGAGAACATTGCTGTACTTAGCCCCATGTTACAAGTGGCCTTTGGAGGCATGGAATGATTCTGTCTATAGAGGAAACTGCAGTAGGCATCCCTAGTCATCTGAGGTGCCAGGTACCAGGATTGTGCAAAGACTCATCCTGCAGGTTTTTTTTTTCAAATATTTTGACATATTTTCACTAAAATATAGACTAAGAACAAGAGAAAACAGTTTGTTTGTTTGTTTATTTATACATACCAGAGATTGAACCCAGGGGCACTTAACCACTGAGCCACATCCTCAGCCCCTTTTTTATATTTTATTAGAGGCAGGATCGTTAAGTTGCTGAGGCTGGATTTGAACTCGTGATTCTCTGCCTCAGCCTCCCAAGTCTCTGGGATTATAGGTGCTTACCTGAGAAAACATTATATTTTAAAAAGACTTGTATGCACTTTTTTATTAAAGTTGCTCATGGGATCAAATGACATTATAGAGTTCTTCTCAGGTGACAGAACATGCGTGATTATAGTAAAGAAGAAGAGCAGAGACCATTCCACAGGCTGCCATATGATAGCACAGCCTGCTGAATACCAACTGAAAAAGTCAATTAAATATGATTCTTTTAATGTGGAAAGAAATAATGATTCTTCTAATGTGGGAGACAGGTTTTAGTTCTGTGAGTTGGCTGGGAGTAGTCAGCCCTTATGCAGGTGCTGCTGAGAGTCTCTCTGATGACCAGCTATCCAAGACTGAGATGAGGGGCTCATGGAGTTGGGGATTTATAGTAGATGAGTTGACTTAATTTGTCTTAGCAGTTTCCCAGACCAATGTTTAATTCTGCCCCCCCCCTCACACACACACACACACACACACACACACACACAGGACATCCATATAAGCAATGCAGTAGCTCCACCCCAAATTATAGTCATATTCTGCTCAACAGGAAAATCCTGTTTCTTTTTAGTATTTTTTCCCCTTTGATTCCTCCTATTATCCTAAGAAGACAGCTTCAGAGGACATGGCTGGTAAGACTTCTTTTGATCACTCTGGGGCATTAGGAAAGATATTTGATATTGACTCACTTCAACTTTTATTTACTAGAATCTGTATAGTTTGTGTGAACGATTTTTAGTTAGAGGAGAAAAGAAGGAGCCCTCCTTCTCTGAGCTATATTCTGTCAGGCTCTTATAAATGGCCTCGTAGGGAATGAGCTATGGATCTTCCCTGAATGCTCATGTTACAAACATGACTGAAGTTCAGAATCTGCATAGTGCAATCACCAAGGATGAGTCTTTCTAAATAAAAGAAGGGAAAATGACATAAATCTGACCATTATTGACTCCGATTTCATGGATATATTTATATTCATCAAAGAAATACAACAGTTGGAGCTTCTTAGGCCTTTCCTGGCAACTCACTAAGGCAGAACCAGAAGAACCACCAGGTAAGTAGAGCCTTGTTTTTGAGGGTGCTGGGTTAGACTTCTATGAGTGGCTGCCCATGGGTTGAGAAGGAATAGCAGTGATAGTAAATACATTAATTAGACCATCCCTTGGAATATCTGAACCCCAAAGAGGAAATATAGAAAAAAAAAAGAAGAAAGAAGCCTACTTATTGAGGTGGCGGTTGTATTTCTTGAGCTGGCAATTAATTTCAACACTGTTGTGCTTCCAACAGATAAGAGACTAAAGGAGAAAAGGAAAACATTTATTATCTCCGTGTCTGAGGATACGCTTTACACTTTGCTGGATGACCTACTAAGTGAAGAGGTAGTGAACCAAGAGGAGGCTGAAAATGTGAAAAAGAAAAATGCTACAACTAAAGACAAAGCCCGTGATTTGATCGATTCAGTCATTCCAAAAGGGTCCTGTGCCAGCCAAAAACTTATTAACTACATCTGCAAGAGAGATTCCAGCCTTGCTTATAAATTAGGATTTTCTTCAGGTGAGATTCCAAGATTTTATTTAAAAATTCTAAATGACTTAATCCACAAAACTATAGATATTTACAGTGTAGAATTCGATGTTCTGCTCTATTGGTCCATTGTGGGAAGATTAAATCAAGCTAATTGCTGTATATGTCACATTGCAGGCTTGTCCCTTTTTTTGTGGTTAGAATACTTAAAATCCACTCTCTAAATAATTTTCTAAGATACATTATTATTAACTACAGTCACATTCTCAATTCTGTCCTTGTATCTTGGCATCTAATGCATGCTTTCTTTACCTGTCAGATAACAGATGACTCAGCAGCTCTTAACCTAATATATTATTACACTCAGTCTCCCATTCATGCTGGCCTGCTCTTCCTGCTCTCCTTTGCTTTGTTAAAATCAAATTCTCCTAGTCTCTTCTTCACTTGAAGTGTCTTTTTATCTGTGGATAATCCTTTAGTCCTTCAGTAATAATTTTGAAGCCTTTTTTTCTAATCTCTCCAAATGAATAAGAGACAAAAGTTTTTACTTTGGTCCTTGACATTAAGCCTTTATAATTCATGAAGTCTCCTGAGGACACATTAGAACCACATGCCCTTCCCTTATTTGTCATTTATTTGATGACACACATTTTTTCAATCCATTTCTCTTGACAACTTGTCCACCATATTACTTCAGCTATATTACTTCAAGTTTTCCAATAGTGATAGTCCACTTCATCACTTCTGCATAAATCAAGTGCAATTTATCATTCTTTTTCTTGCTTTATTACAATTAGAAATATTAGAAATGTGTCTTACAGTCTTTTCAATGCTCAATCTAAGAGCTGTTTCTTCATGAAAGATGCTCAATACTAATGGCAATTAAAGGGTAATAAGGACCAACATACAGTAATTTATGAAATATTCCAATTGAAACACTGCCCATTTACTAATCTACTAATGTCCCAAGAATAAAACCCACTGTTGTTAATCTAACACACACTTTCCATATCTCCAGCCTCAGCTTCTGATCCTCTTTAAATAAATGCCAATGCTCTGGTACATTATAGATATAGGAGATATTAAGGAAGGGCTTGATTATGAGTTTGGACCCAGAAGAGCTGGAGACATAAAATTATGATATCCATTTGAAATCTTAGGACTGGATGAGATCACTAGAAATAGACAGTAAAAGGAAGCCTGTGGAAAAGCACCAGGATAATTTCAGGAATCGAAGGTAGCATTAGACTCTAGATGAGAATAACTCACCTTCATTGCAGAGGCAATGGCAAACAGGCATATCAGTGCTTTGTGGTTTAATGTGAACCATACATGTGCACACAACACCAAATTCTGATTTCATCGTTTTCTAAGTCCACATTATATTTGTAGTAGCAAGAGAAAAATAATGATGTTAACACTCACATAAAACTTAATATAGTCACACATTGCTTCAAGTACTTCTTGGGTGTTAAATCACTAAATATGCACAAAAATCTAATACGTAAACTGATTTTTTTTGTTCTCACTCAGAAGTGGGAAAATTAGAAACAGGGGATATTAAGTAATCTAAGTTCATATAGCTGTTATGCGGTAGAATCAGGAGTAAAGCCTGCTTCCAAATCCCATCCTGAGGATTGCCAAGCTGATTGTGTTGTGCAAACAGACCTTTCTATCCAATGATGCCAAATCAGAGATCCACAGGGACTCTGTTTCTTGTGACTCTGTGTCAAACTTGCCATTACTTCTAATCATTGCCTTACTTTTGTCTGAGTTCAATCAACCAAACAAACCAAAACCCGCAACATCTGTCCACACTTTTTTCTTTCTTTTGAGGCTCATTTAGGGATAAAATGGCTATTTCCCCAAGAAAGCATCAAAGACTACTCAGGGAGGAAATGAGTATCGATATTCTCCAGCCTGAGCCTGCTTGATGAGACTTTTGATGACTTTCACACACTTTGCCCAGTCGATGGACCTATATTCCGAGTTCTAGATCCTCAGCAAGGACAGCTGGTCACCCACCCCACTGATGCCCTGGCATCTTGGCTGCTCCATAACTTGAAAGGAAAGGATAAACAACTGGACAACCTGTCCTCCATTGTTCAGTAGAGCCAAGCACTCAGCTTTTAAAAATAGCCTTATAAAGAAATCAAGGAGAAATGAGAATCCAATGTTGATAACTACATACAATGAGAGAGACTTGGGAGAGTTATCCATCCAAAACAAAGCACATTCTAGCTGTTCTTAGGGACCAGCTAGACAATCCTTATAAATCTGAATTAGATTCAAAGGAGATTCTTAATGAAGTTTTCAAAACCAAGGCAGATCGATAGAGTCTTATTAGACCTATTGTTTCCTAGTCCTCACCAGAGTCACATGCATATATTGCTGCATCTGGAGTACCTCTCTTAATCAGTTAACTTTTCCCACAAAGGAGCCACAACTCTTGCCTGACCACAATTTACCTAACTTAACAAGATGTTGGACACAACTAGTTTTTACCAGCTAACAGTTTTCCCACAAAGTTTTCTTTTATATTCCAAGATAATTAGTACATTCTGACTATTACTGGGGTGATTTGGGTTCTGGGATGCACCAATAGAACCAGGATACCATATATCACATTTGTCATGTCTTTTAAAATTTGTGCAGAAGCTATTGATGGAAGACCAGAGCCAGTATCTGAAGAATCCAGAGGCTTACTCAAGCTTTGTTCTCATCAAAAATTCCTGGAACTATGCACAAAGGAGGCTGGAAGGGTGAGATGGAAAATTAATGGAATAGGGAATCAAATGAAGTAGAAAGATTCCCTAGATGTAAATATACAGAGGACTTAAGAGTAATAGTATTTCTTTTTTTTTTTTGTACCAGGGAGTTGAACCTAGATTTAACCTAGGGGTACTTAATCACTGAGCAACATCCTAACATCCCCAGCATTAATTTTTTTTTTTTTAATTTTGAGAGAGGATCCCACTAAGTTGATTAGGGCTTTGCTAAATTGCTGAGGCTGGCTTTGAACTTGCAATCCTCCTGCCTCAGCCTCCCAAGCCACTGGGATTACAGGCATGAGCCACCATAGCTGGCTGACAGTGGGTTTTTTTTTTTAAGATATATGAAAGTACCTCAGGGGTCAAAAAATAACTGTATATGAGTATTTTATTATAATATGATCTTGACAGAAGGGATTTTATTCTATCAGGAAAATTAGATGTGCAATAATGAAACAGTAATGTTTTGATGCATGATATATTGATGCTACTTTGTGTTTATATATAGATACTATAAAATAAAATTAAGGATTGTTATGATCAATGTCAACTGAAGAAGGTGGGGAATGATCTAGTATTCAAGAATTTTGATATGGGTCTTTTATATCAGATAAAGTTTGGCTAAATATAAGGAAAGGGACAAGGAAGGACAAAAAGTATTCTAGTCTACTCCACGAGATCATTGAATAAATAGCCCACATCTGTTCTTATTCATTACTCTGGGAGTTTGCTTTTCTTGCTGTAGCTTTCCCTATTCCCCTTATTTTGTCTGATTTCTTTCTAAAACTCTTTCTACCATTAAAGAAGGAGAGAAAGAAATGGTTCCAGCAAAAGTTAGCAGATGAACAAACAGTTATTTCATGTCATTGAGAGTGTTGCCTGAGTATGCTGTGAATATATTGAGAACTTTAATTGCACATAACTTGGCATTATTCTGCAGATCTACCCAATCAAAGAGAAGGCGACCCGCACTCGCCTGGCCCTCATCATCTGTAACACAGAGTTTGACTCTCTCCCAAGGCGCAATGGGTCTGAATATGACATCCAAGGGATGCAGAGGCTGCTTGAAGACCTGGGCTACACTGTTGTTGTAGAAAGAAATCTCACAGCCAGGGTAAGGCCCCCTTCCCTATTTGGTACACATACTTATATACGCCCATGTACCTCTGTTTGAGGGCCATTCATCTCATTTATCTGGGACTTGTTTTGCTTTTTCAACTCTTTCTTTCATTCTTCTTCTTCTTTTTTTTTTCTTGGTCCCAGAGGTGCTTTATCACTGAGTCAGGGCCCCAGCTTTTTTTATTTTTATTTTTTATTTGAGAAAAGTTCTCACAAACTTGTTAAGGTCTGGCTAAATTTCTGAGCCTGGCCTTGAACTTGCACTCCTATTGCCAATTATATTGAAATTATAGGCATGCACTACCTGATCAAGCTGCTATTTTTTCAATTTGAAAATGAAAAAGTCAAAGCTGTCATTGATAGTTGCCAACGTTACCTTGGAGCAGTGAATATAAACACACACTGTGTGTATAAGCATACATATATGCACATGTGTTTGTGTGTATATATTTCAGCGACAGTATTTTCATTTTATTCTTATTTTTATTATTCTTAAACCCCAAACTGATCACTTTACTTAGGAAGCACACACACACTTTCTGCCAGCATGTGTGGAGAACTGGAGAAGTGTTCACACAGAGGCATTGCAGCCAGAGAAGTCATGATCCCCAGCAGAACTGTGGCAGCACTGGGGCATGTAGGCATGTGGAGGAGTAAAATATCTTGACTTTTTACTACTGCTGTTTTCCATTCTCCTCTAGTGTCCTGCCAGTGCCTTTTATTGGGCAAAAACAATATGGAGTTTGTTGACAATAGAAATCAATAGGTATTGTCTGTAGAGACACAAACAAGGAAGATAAGAGCAAAAAATTGATCTGGGGATGAAAATTTTTGAAAGTTAGCATCACAAGGTTGGGACTGTAGCTCAGTAGCATAGTGCTTGCCTACCATGTGCAAGGCACTGCGTTTGATCCTGTCAGCACCTCATAAAAATAAACAAAGGCATTTTGTCCATTTACAACTATAATAATGATAATAATAATAATTTAGCATTATAGGAGAAGGATATCAGGAAAGTTGGAGCAGTAAGAAGCACCGCTGTACCTTGAAAATTATACTGGCAGAAAGCAATGAAGTTACTCTTCGGACTCTGGATTTTATTTGAATACTTTCAATCTTCTAGGGAACAGACTGAATGATAAATTGCAGTTAATATTGGTAGCTACCTATCCCTTATCCCACTCTTCAACCTGAGGCAGGTAGCCATGGGGATGGCAAGTTGCATTTATGGTACAACTTGCTGGAGAAAGAATGGAAAAAAAGACCTTTTCTCCAAATATTGGAGATATGTGTTCCTACTGAGAACTGTGGGCATGTAAGCTGGATGCCATGTTTGAACCCTCACCAAATAAACAGTTTCCAAACATTTCAGTGACTGATAGTCTTTTTTAAACATTTAAAAACAAGAGCATATATGAGGGAATTTAGGAAGCCACCACATATGCCCAGGCTCAAAAAATACCTGAAAAGATCTTAAACTTTCACCTCAGACTGATTTCTGACACAGAGATATATTAAAACAAACAATAAGTAAAAACATCAACTTCAAAGAAAGGGGAAATCCAAAGTAACACCATTGCTCTTGGCCTTGGTATCCACAGGTTTCATATCAACACAATCAACCAATCAAAGTTTGAAAATATTCAATTAAGACGTGCATTGGTACTGAATATGTACCAATTTTTTTCTTTTTCAGTCTATAAGCAATAACTCTTTGCAGAGCATTTATATTATATTAGGTATTATAATCAATCTAGAGATGATTTGAAGTATTTGGGGGTGTGGTGTAGGTTATATTCAAATCCCATGTTATTTTATATAGAAATTTGATGGTAACAATTATATAATACTCAAATATCTAGCTAAAAATATTACAAGCTACAGAAAAATTGGGAAAGAGCAAAATAAATCTAAAGCAGACATCTATGAGGAAGCACAGATTGAAGACTTATTAGATAGAAGCTTTACATAGATCTCTTGAAGATGCTCTGAGAGCTAACAAAAGACATAGGCAAAACCAGATATAAGATATCTAAACAAAATGAGAATATCAATACAGAGACAGAAAGTATAAAATGGAACAAAAAGAAATTCTGGAGTTGAGAAGTACAATAATTGAATGAAAACATAAAACTAATAGGAAAAGTAAATAAAATCTTAGTTCTTTAAAATAAACCACAGAATTGAGGACAAGGAAACAAATAATTAAAATTGGAAATGAAAAAGAGAACATTACTTTCAAACTTACAGAGATTTAAAAGATTATAACTATGAATAACTACTTGCCAACAGATTAGATAACTGAAATGAAATGGGTAGTTTCTTAGAAACACACAGCTTATCATAACTAAATTATGAAAATAAAGAAATTTGAAATAAATCTATACAAGTCAGGAGATTCAATCAGTAATCAAAAACATCACAACAAAGAATACTGGCTTAACCAATGAATTCCACCAAACACTTAAAAAATTAACAGCAATTTTCTCAATATTCCAAGAAATTCAAGATGAGAAAACAATTTATAACCCATCCCATTCTATGAGGCTAGAATTACTCTAATCCTAAAGCTGAATACAAGAATCATAATAAAATAAAATCTCAGAACAATATATTTTGTAAATAAAGAGGATTCTTTACTTTAACCAAGTGGGATTTATCCCAGGAGTGTGGTGGCTTTTCAACATAAGAGAAACAATGGATAATAGATCACATGGACAGGATGACAGGAACAAAAACAACAAATTTGTAATGATTCAAATTAATGGATACAAAGAATTTGACAAAATCCACTGCACAAAGAAAGCTCTCAGAAAACTATGAATAGAGAGAAATTTTCTCAATCTGCTAAATAGTATTCATGAGAAACTCAGATAAAGTTTTTCTCCTAGATCAGTCAGCAGAGTAAGAATGATCACTTTCATCAGTGCATTCAACGTTGTACTTTAGATCAAGCCAGAACTATTAGAAGAAGTAAGAGGCGTAGAGACTGAAAATGAAGAGGGAATGCTATTTATTCACAGATTCTACCACTAGCTTTATAATAGAAGGCTATCAGAACTAATAAAAAAAGTCATCATCATAGGAGTTGCAAAGTACAAGATTAACATAAAAATAGGGTCTTGTGTTTCTATATGCTAGAATGCACATTGAAACGAAAATTAGAAAACCAATTTTATTTGTAACACCTAAAAGCATACAATACTTAGGAATAAATCTAACAAAGGTACTGAGAGACATGTACATCAAAAACTACTAAATATTGTTGAAATACAGAAAATCTAAACAAATAGAAAGATAATCCATGTGTATGCATTGGAAGGGAATACTATTAACATGCTAATGCTGTCATAAGTGATTTACATATACAGTGAAATCTCTATCAAAATTCCAACAGACTTTTTTTTTGAGGGAGGGTGAGAATTTGAAAAGCCAATTCTCAAATTTATAGAGAATTTCAAAGAAGCTCAGATATCCAAAACAACCTTGAAAAAGAGAAAGAAAGCTAAACGCTTTCTGTTTTTTTTTTTTAATTTTTTATTGTTGGTTGTTCAAAACATTACAAATTTCTTGACATATCATAAACGCTTTCTTTTTAAAGTAATTAAAACATATGATACCTATAAAGAAATAAAAGGAGGGGCTGGGGTTGTGGCTCAGCGGTAGAGCGCTCGGCTCGCATGTGCAAGGCCCTGGGTTCAATTCTCAGCACCACATAAAAATAAATAAATAAATAAAGTTGAATACTCTTAAAAAAAAAAGGAAAGAAATAAAAGGAAACACAGAGACAAGATGCCAAGGCAGAAAAATGGCTGCTCATCTAAGCGGCCACCTTTATTTACCCTAATAGGTTACATTGAGTCATTAGTGCCATAACTACATTATTGTTTATTGTATCACAAAGTTTTCTTGTTCTGCAGTTACATTCTACAGTTCAATATGCAATGTTAAGAGCTTTGTGTAGCTCTCAAGAAAGCCCATTATCTGAAGTTACCATTAGGCATTAGGTGAGCAGGTCCTGGAGCACTGGAGCTTGGTGAAACATTATAGTTATAGCACATTCCTTTATTACCAGGAGCTATATACCTGACATTAAGGCTGAGGCTGATAAGACTCTAGCATAGAGCCTCAGGGCATTGCCATAGCAGCTCGGCCTTGCACGTGGATTAGTTATCTTTCTAGTTCCTGGGGAAAACTGCAGAATATTCCAACTGTGGAAGACAGGGTGCCTGTTATCCCTTGGGAATTGGCTCACTAGAGGAACGCTGTCCTATATATTTCCACAGTCAGAACTCTTACAGATACCATCATAAATACAGACATATAGAGCAATGGAATAGAACAGAAAGCCTCATATTTGTGTTTAATTGATTTCAACAAGGGTGCCAAGACTATTCAGTGAGGAAGGGAGAGTCTTTTTCTTCTCAATAAATGATACTGGAAAAACTAGACATTCTCATGCAAAATCAAGTTGGAGTCCTAACATAAATTATATATACTATCATTATTAAGTTTTAATCAATCAGAGATCTAGACTTAAGAGCTTAAATTATAAATCTCAAGGAAGAAAACATTGAATAAATTCTTCATGACATCAAACTTGGAAACAATTTCATGGATATGTCATCAAATGCACAGGCAATAAAAAATAATTGATAAATATAACTGTGTCTCAAAAGATATGAACAAGAGAGTGAAAATGTAAGCTGAAGAATGGTTTGCATATCAGATACCTGTTAAGGGACTAATATCCAGAATATACAAAATAACTCCTAAAACTCAATAACAATCTGATTCAACAAAATAAGTTAAGGACTTGATAGTTATTTCTCCAAAGAATACAAACAAATAACCAGTAAGCATATGCAAAGATGCTCAACATCATCATTCATCTGAAAAATGGAAATCAAAACCACAATGAGTCACCACTTCACACCTACTAGGTTGGCCATGATAAGAGGAGGAGAAGAAAGAGGAAGAGGAAAATAACAGGTATTGGCCGGAATGTGGAAAACTTAGAAACTTGTGTTTTGATGTTTGTCATGTAAAGTGATGTAGTCACTGTGGAAAACACTCTGGGGTGGTTCTTAAAAGATTACACTACTATATGGCCCACTGATTACACTCCTAATTACATTTATATCTAAACATATCAAAAGCAGAGACTCTAGCAAATATACTTTTATGTCGTTATTTATATCATTATATTATTACTTACAAAAGTTTAGTGTGGGAAAAAAAATCAAGTGTCCATCCACAAATGAATAGGTAGGTAAAATGTGGCATAAAGATAAAATAGAATATCATTTGGTCATAAAAAGAAGTGAGATTTTGGTATTTTCTACAACATGAATGGGTCTTAAAACTTTGTGTTTAATGAAAAGGATGGACAAATGTTCTATGTTTTGACTTATGTGATAAACTTAGTATAAGCAAATTCATAGGAAAATAAAAGTGGAATAGAGTTTACTAGGAGATAAGGAGGAGTTAAAATTAATGAATGCAGTTTTTGTTGGGGATGGTGAAAAAGTTTTGGTACAGAAAGTAGTGAGATTTTATCAAACAATATGAATGTATTTGAATTATAAGGTCACAAATTATTAAAATGATAAATAATGGATTATGTACATTTTGCCACAATAAAACATTTGCCAGTATATTATGAAAAAATTAAGGGAAACATATAGAATTAGAGTATTGAAATATTTTCCTGAATTACTACAATAACATTAATAGCAACAAAAAATAATAATGGTTGTCATCCATGTGTATGTTTTATAAATTAAGCTCTGAAATGTGCCAGACACTTGATGTTTATTCTTTCTATTGCTCAAAGCTTTAACGTGGGAAAGTGTAGGTATTGTGTTGTGATGATGAAATGTTTTCTCTCACAGGCCATGAAGAGAGTCCTAAGAGATTTTGCTGCCCGCCTAGAGCACAAGTCCTCAGACAGCACATTCTTGGTGTTCATGTCCCATGGCATCTTTGATGCGATCTGTGGGATCACACATGGTGATGAAACACAAGATGTGTTGCCTTATGATTCCATCTTCCAGATTTTCAACAACCAGAACTGTTCCCATTTGAAGGACAAACCCAAGGTCATCATCATCCAGGCCTGTAGAGGGGGTAAGTTGCAATGGGGCCCAGGGATAAGAGAGGTGTATGTCATGCAGGCTGAGGCTTTATACTATGTGCTTTCTATCTGGTGAAAATGCCATGAACCTTACTTTTTGTGCCATTATATCAAACAGATTTCTTTGGAAAGAGCATTTAGGGGTGGCAGTAGAGAAATGCTATCCAACTTAAAAGTAAATCGTCATTGAACCACAGTTCAGTGGTGATGATAATATGAATTCTAAATTATTTTTTACATAGAATTATTAAAATTGTGGCATGAAGAGGGTTTAAATTAAAAATATGTTATTAAAATTTTACAATTTCTGACTGTGAAGTATTTCACCTGAAAGTGAGGGATCCAAATTAAAGCTGGGGACCTGTGCCTGTAGTCTTAGCTATTAGCAAGCCTGAGGCAGGAGTTCAAGAACAACAGGAGCAACATAGCAAGATCCAGTCTCAAAATAATTAAACAATGCAAAGTGAGTGAAAGAAGCTAGACCTGAAAGATTGCATGCTACATGATTCTATTTTACATGGCATTTGGAAAAAGCCAAAAATATAGGGATAACACAAGGTAATAATTGACAGAAGCTGAAGATGGGAGGGTTATTCTACATCTTGTTACAGAGGTAGCAATATGACTGTACATATGTTAAAATTCACCAAAGTCATGAATTTTACTGTATGTAAATTATACTGTAATAAGATAAATAAAATAAAATTATTATGCCATTTATTTTTCCTATAACTTTTTTTTAACTTTAATGTAATTACATCACTTGGGGAATGGTTTAGAAGGAAGAAGTAGCAATTAGGAAGGAAAGGAAGTGAAAAGACAGGTTTAGAATTTAATGTCTGTTTTTGCACAGAGTAGTTATTTCCTCCCTTACCTTTGTGTTATTGTCACTTTAACTGTCATGAAACTAAAAACAGCTCTCTTTACTCAGGCATAGCCAATGTATGTTTATAGCAGCAATACTGCCTCTGCTCAGTTGGTACCTTCCAGGTCAAGAATGTGATTGCTATTCATTGACATCCTCTATGGCTATGCTAGACCCATAGTGCTTGTGTGTGTGTGTGTGTGTGTGTGTGTGAAATTAATTGAAAAATCTTTATAAAATTCTATCCCATTTATTTAGTTGTCAAAGAACTAACATGTATTCAGCAGTGAGTAAGTAAATAACAGCATATCATTCTCCATAGGAAACACTGGAGAGGTGTGGGTCAGCGATTCTCCAGCAGGCTCGGTGGATAGCTCTTCACGGTTTTCTGAGAACCCGATGCATGATGGTGTCCACAAGGCCCATGTGGAGAAGGACTTTGTTGCTTTCTGCTCTTCAACACCACGTATGCATTTCGTTGGATGTATGTGTTGCATGGATGGGTTAGGATGTGTGAGAAGGAGGCCTGTCTGCCTACATGGCCAGAAAACTTTACTAGGGAATGGGAAAGGAATGGAGATCCCATCCACGTTACTGTAGCATTCTTTTACAGTTTAGTGGCAGTAGGGGCCTCTTCTGCTCTACATCCTTCCAGATGCCAGTCTTCCTTATCCACTTAGTAGGTGATTGGTCAGTAGGCTCACAGCAGTAATGGTTTGATGAGTCTACTGGTATGAATGCACTGCTTTTACCACTGAGGATATTTTTAAATGAAAAAGGGAATGTGACCTCTTTTTCAAAAAATTTAAATTTCTAGTTTAGAAAATCAAAAAACCTAAGTGTTAGATGTCATTAAAAGATCACCAAATAATAAGCAGCACTTGGTGAAATAAAATTGCAAACTAGGAGTTATAAAAAAATGTAGAGAACCAATTTTAAAAATCATCATATTTAAGGCAATTCCATTTGAAAAATAAGGTAGCATATTTCAGAGAAGATAATTGTCAGTGGCCTGGGAAAAACAGGATTTATGAAATGTTCAAGCAAAATCTTATTCTTAATATAAATTATTTATTTATTTTTGGTATGTATATTTATTTACTATTTAGCACATATCTGACAGGTAAGCTTTGTCATTCTTTTTTCATGAATTTCATGAAAATCATATAAATTGCCTGAATAAACACTTGCAGTATTTTCCAGGTATGAATCCAAGTTAGTTTGACTCTGAAGTTCAGGCTATTTGAGGTATACCAATGAAAACAATACACAGCCTATCTAATTTGCAACTTTGGGCAATTCCAGTGTCAGAAACACAGACTTTTGTTCTGAGGAAAGAGCTACTAAAAAATAGAACAGAATAGCCTTAGCAGAAGACATCTCTGTCCATGACTAACATGGAATTTGAACCAACCAGTGTTAACAAGGACAGAGCACCCTCTGTCTCTCATTGGCCAGCTTGTTATCTATGAGTTCAATAACTGCTTGTCACTGAGCAGCTATTTTGCCTTGAGGAAAATTTGAAGATTAAAAAAAAAAAATCTACTAGAAAATGTGACCTATACTACCAATGTAAACATAGCATTTATATTCTGAACCACAGGACCGTGGTTCCAGAGCCCTACTCCTGCACCTGTGATGCTACAAGCCTCAGATGATACCCTTTATGGTTTGATCAGAGCCCATCTTGTTACCCTTTGTGTTTAAAGTCAAACACAGTTATCTGAGTTATTTTCCTCCTTCCTTAAATCTGTTCAAAGTTATTTATAATTGCTTCCTTTTTTGAAAGGATGAAGGCTACAGCTCAAGATTTATCCTTGTCTTTACTCACAGATAATCTTTCTTGGAGGAAAAAAAATGGTTCCATCTTCATCACAGAACTCATAAATAATATTCAAGAACATTCTTGGTATTGTCACCTAACAGAAATATTTATGATGGTAAGATCATATATTACTTCTTACATTCACTTATTGTAGAAGCCAGAACGATTGTGCATGATAACCTAGTTATGTATTTTGATAGGATGTTGTTCAGAGTGCAACACACTTTGCTTTCTAGCTATTTTTAAATTACCTCATTCTGATAGGAAAAAATAAATCTGTATCAAAATTTTTAAAATTTGGGAGATGAGTAAGGATAGGCTGTATTTATTTCTATAAGTGCATCTTTATACAAATATAATCTGTCATATGAAATGATATTTATTTAAATATTCAAATTATGGAATGCCTTTGGTGCAAACCTTCTTTTCTTTTTTTACATTTGTTGAGTTCCCGTTCAATAAGAACTGTGGATTCCTGATGCAGACAATGCAATAAAAATGAGCAGACACAGTCACTACTTTCATAGCTAATATTCTAGTAGAATATAGAGAATTAAAAAGCACATCACTCAAAAATAGGTCCTTCATATTTTTAGAGAAAAGAATAAGAGAGTTTTGTGAAAGGAAGGAATAAGTCCTATGTTAGTCGTGGTTGTCCATAAGCTTGATAGAATAGGATTATTAGTATAGGTGTTGGTGTGGGTATGTTTTCATTGTTTTTGCTTGTTTGTTTTATGGGTTTTTTTTTTTTTTTTTGTACCAGGAATTGAATCCAGGGATACTTAAACACTGAGCCACATCTCCAGTCCTTTTCTCATTTTTTATTTTGAGACAAAGTCTGATTAAGTTGTGAGGGCCTTGCTAAGCTGCTGAGACTGGCTTTGAAGTTGTGATCTTCCTGTCTCAACCTCCTGAGTTATTGAGATTACAAGCAGGCACCACCACACCTGGCTAGTATGTGTTTATGACTGGCCTAAAAACTGTTTTTACTGACCAATGAAAAAGGTATAGGAGGGAATGAGAACAAGCAAACGAAGAATGTGAAATAAGATCTTAAGGGACAGAACACTGGGATTCCAATCTAAAAGGATTGAAAGGAGCAGGTCTGGAGAATTGAAGGAATCTCTAAGGGTTAAGACTCCAAGACATAAACCATGAGGGGAAATTTGATAGTTATAATTTAGAGATCAGAGACTCTTCTAGCTTATTTGGGTTAACACACTCAATTTGTACCATTTCTGAGATACACATAAAAAATAGAAAACTTACATGAAGCAGTAATAGTCAGTGTACTGAACATTAGACAATGAAGGTCCCTATGCCCTGAGAGATGGGAAGCAAACAGGGTGAGTCCTACAATTATCTCATAATTTAATAATCTTGAGAATTTGCAGGGCACAACACTGGGAGGTAGAAGCAATGTAGAATCTGGTGGACTCAAATTTGAGAAGACAGAGCTGAGAGTCCAGGCAGAACAGGTAGTTAGAGTTCAAAGCGCATGATAATAAAGGGCAGGGAGCTACACAGAGAACTGTGGAGAACTGTGGAGATCTTCAGCAGAGAATGATTTGGCATGTGCATAAGGAGACTACTTTAATTAGGGAAAAGAATCACACCAAAAGCTGGGCATAGTGGCACATGACTGTAATCCCAGCAGCTTGGGAGGCTGAGGCAGGTGATTGGAAGTTCAAAGCCAGCCTTAGCATCTTAATGAAGTCCTAAGCAACTTAATGAGACTTTGTTTTTAAATTATATATATATATATATATATATATATATATATATATATATATATATATATATAAAATCTGGGGATGTGGCTCAGTGGTTAAGCTCACTTGTTATAATTATTAAATAAATAAATAAATATCACACTGATGGGTTAGCAGAAAAAGCACTATGATATTTATAAAGAAATAGGAAGAGTGCCAGTCTGGAAAAATCTCAATATATACCTGTTAAGGACTCAGATGTGTTGTTCCTAAATTTTAGAAAATAAAGAGCCTCACAATAAATAATTCTCTGGTCCTACATAATAAATCTTAAAAGCACAATCCAGAAGGATCCAATAAATCTCAACCTACAGTATGTAAAAACAAAGCATAATTATATGAATATGTATATGTGAGTTATATGTGTGTATAAATGCTATTTGACATCCATTTAATAAGATATCAGGCAAGTAAATAATCAGGAAATTAAAACTGAGTATTAAGAGATCAATCAAAGAAAATTTACCCATACTGGCACAGATGTCAGGATTAGCAGAAAAGGAAAATATAACAGTTATTGTAAATATATTCCACATTTTTAATAGCCAAGTAGAATCATGGAAGATATAAAAAGGATTATAGTGATTTTTTTTTTTTTTAATTTTGGTACCCGGTATTAAATTAAGAAGCACTCAACTACTGAGCCACATCCCCAGATCAATTTTTTTGTATTTTATTTAGAGACAGGGTCTCACTGAGTTGCTTAGTGCCTGGCCATTGCTGAAGCTGGCTTTGAACTTCTGATCCTCCTGCCTCAGCCTCCAGAGCTGTTAGGATTACAGTCATGTGTCACTGCACCCAGCCTGAATTAAATTTTGAGGTGTGAAAACTAGGATGTGTAAGATAAAAATATACATATATATTGGATAGAATTAGGAGCATATTAGATATTACAGAAGAAAAATTGATTTGAGTAAATTGTATAAGATAAGGCACAGAGAGCAAAAAAGGTATACAACCACCACCAGAAAATGGCCAAGGCATCAGTGAGTGGTGGTAAAAATTGAAGAGGCTAATACATGTGCAAGTGATGCTCTAAATTTGGAGGAATAAAACTGTTGAATAATGATTTAAAAAAATGTCCAAAGGTTATTAAAGATATAATAAACCCATAGGTTAAAGAAAGACAATAAGGCTGAAATATTAAAATAGTGGAAAAAGACGGCAAGACTTACCTGAGTTCTATTCTTTTAAACTATTGATAAGAAAATCCTAAAAGCAAAGTGAGGAAAGAGGAATGCTTCATGAAGAAAAACAAAGAAAAGAATATAAACAAGCCTAGCACGATGGTGCACACCTATAATCCCAGTGGCTCAGGAAGCTGAGGTAGGAGGATCTTGAGTTCAAAGACAGCCTCAGCAATTTGGTGAGACGCTAAGCAACAGTGAGACCCTGTCTCTGATAAAATACAAAATAAGGTTAGGGATGTAGCTCAGTGATCAAGGACCCTTGAGTTCAACCCATGGTACCCCCCCCCCCAAAAAAAAAAGAATATAAACAAATTCATTGAAAGAATAATGCATGCTAGAAAACAGTTGTGAATAATAAGAACAATGAAGTCATTGTAAACCTAAAACTCTTTATTCAGAAAAATAAAAACAAATCTTTCAAAAATAAAGGTAAAATAAACATTTTTTTCCACCATAAAAAAGATTTCACTCCAAGAAGTGTTAAAGGAAGTCAATCAGGAAGATGTAAGACAATACCAGTTAGAAATGTAGGTCTATAAAAGTGAATACAAGCACTGGAAATAGCAACTATATATATATATATATATATATATATATATATATATACACACACACACATACATAGTTTATGTTAATGTGTATACAAACATGCACATATACTATCTCTTTAAAGAAAATCATCTGGTTAAACATATGCAATAAAAATATAGTATCAGTTCTACAATAGATGTGAAAGTAAAATATATGACACTAGAACAAATTCTGGAAGAAATAGATTTCTAAAGTCAGAATGTCTATGCATTATAGGTAGGTGGCACAGTAACACTTGTGGTAAGATCAGGCTATGTCATCAGAAGTTAAAGTTATGTTAAGATAAAGTTATTTACCATAAGCCCACAATTAATCACTAAAATAAAATCAGAATTATAACTAATAAGTATAAATGAACATTTAAATAGCATAACAATTCAAGAAAATCAGGATAACTAGAAAGAAGGTGAAAGTCATCTGAACATACAGATTAAATATCAGATATTGTCAGATACAATCAAGTAAATGTCAACTGTAACAGATCAACTTTAAATACAATGTGACAACTAGGTTAACAGTACAAGTATAGGAAAAGTGTATCAAACCTACCCTAATCAACAACAAATTGAAATGGATTATTAGATTCAGACAAAATTGATTTCACAGCAGAGAATACTTGAAGAAATAAAATTTTGTAATACCATAAAGATAAAGGGATCTATTCAATAGGAGAACATCAAAATATTAAATGTGTGCATGCCTAATAATAGTTTTAATATGTAAGGAGCAGCAATGGACAGAACTGCCAAAGAAATAGACAAATCTACAATTAGAATCAGAGATTTCATTACCCTTCTCTCAATAATTGATAGAACAAGTGCCCCAGAAGTCAAAGACGGACAAGATGTGAACAAGATAATCAATACAACTTGACCCAATTGGCATAGAGCATTTCAACCAAAGACAGCAGCAGAGACATTCTTCTCAAGGGTACATAAAATATTTACAAAGATAATGGCTATTTTGAGCCAAAAAAAAGTCTCAATAAACTTCAAATGACTATTCATTAAAAATGTGTTCTTTAAATAGAACAGAATAAACTAGTAAGATATCTAGAATATTTTGAAATAAATAAAGTATTTCTAAGTAACACATGGTCAATAGAGAAATTAAAATGTAAATGAAACATATCATCAACTCTGAGATATTACTAAAATATTATTTAGAAGACAATGTGAGCCCTGCATGAAGAAATTAGAATAAAAAGAAATGCCTTAAATCAATGGTCCAAATTCCACCTTAAGAAACTGGAAAAAATCATGCTGGACTCAGTGGTGCATAGTTGTAATCCTAGGGACTCTGGAGGCTGAGGCAGGAGGATCACAAGTCAAAGATCAGCATCAGCAACATAGTGAGAACTTGTCTCAAAATAACATAAAATAAAATAAAATGGCTGGGGATATGGATCAGTGATAGAGCATCCCTGGGAAGAGTCAGTGAAAAGAAAACTAAGCAAAAGAAAAATAAAAGAAAAACAGATAATAATGGAGATTAATAATCCAGAAAACATTTAAAAATAAAGAAGAGATGGTGTTTTCAGTAAATAGCACTAGAGCAAATGAATAGCTATATGCTAAAAATAGACAAGAACTTCTATTCACTCTAGAACCACACATGAGGACCAAATTCACATGTATCCTAAACCTAGATGTTAAACCTATAGTTATAAATCTTCTAGAGGAAAAATGAGAAGAAAAATTTTGTGACTTTAATTTTTGCAAAGTTTTGATTAACCGTAATATGCAAAGCACAGTCTGTTAAAACATGTTAAATTTGACTTTATCAAGATAGACATGATGGTATATGCCCATAATCCCAGTGGCTCGGGTGGCTGAGGCAGTAGGATCTTGAGTTCAAAGCCAGCTTCAGCAATTTAGCAAGATAAGGAGCAACTTGGGGAGAACACCTCTCAGAAGAAAATATAAAATGGCCTGGGGACATGGCTCAGTGGTTGAGTGCCCCTGGGTTCAATCCCTAGTACCCTCCCCCGCAAAAAAAAAAGCAAGATTGTCTGCCCTTTTAAAGACATAGGAGATTAGGAGTGCTAAATTAAAGCTAAAGACAGTGCTAGATTAGGAGAAAATATGACTTTTGTTCATAAAATATAAAGAAATTGGATTCATCATATATATAAATTTTATAATATGTACAGTTTTATTTAAATATAAAAAGAAAATAATTCAAGGAAGAAATATAAAAATACTAAAAAAAAATGCAAAACACTTGAGCCCACATTTCACATAAAGTTCTGATGGCAAATTAGTACATGAAAATATGTTAAATGTTATAAATTATGAGAGAAAGACAATTTAAATTCAACATCTATAAGAATGAATAAAATTTAAAAGACTGAACACACCTAGTGCTAGGGTGTAAGTGAAAAAAACCATAACTCTTAGACACAGCTCATGAGAAGTTAAAATGGCACAATGACTTTGGAAAATATTTTTGAAGGTTCATAAATGGCTAATCACATGACTACCATAAGACGCAATAATTCTTTTTCTATATATTCTACCAGAAATTAAAATATGTTAACACAAATACTTCAACATGAATATTCACAATAGCTAAATTTGCAAGAGCTCAAAACTAAAAACAACCTACCTCTCCATACACTTTGAATGTATAACAATTCTACCTCAATGAGACATTTTTACTTGAAGATTGGAAGTAGAATTAATTGGGTGGGTATATTAGCTTTCCAAGACCACCACAACAAAGAACCCCAGACAGGGTGTCTTAATGAAAGAAATTTATTTCCTAATAGATCTGAAGACTAGAAATCCAAAACCAAAGTGTCAGTAGGTTATATTCCTACAAAAGAATCTCCTTTGCTTGCAAATGGCTGACTTCTCATTGCGTTCTCACATGGCCTTTCCTTTGTGGGTACACATCCCATGTCTCTATGTGTGCCCAAGGTAACTCTCCTCCTAAGAACACTATTTAGATTGGATTTGCACCCACACCAATAGCCTTGTTTTAACTTGATCACACATGTAGAACCTTATCTCTAAATTTAGTCAAATTCTAGGATACTGGAGTTATGGCTTCAACAGGAATTTTGGAGAGACCCAATTAACACCATATCCCAGGAGGAGTATTGGAATTAGTTACAATTTGAAGGTGACTTTTAGTATCTGACTTAGGGCATCAAGTTATGTTTACCAGTGAGGAACTGCTGGTGTAATTAAAGGGTTTTTCTCTTAAAGTTTTTATAACTCTTTGGCCTTCACATCACTGCAAGAATCAATCCCAATCATGATCATGTTGTCTTACGGTGTAATAGGTTTTCTACTTCTCCATAAAGGGCAAAACTCAAAAGTTTTTTTTTTTTATTTTTTATATTTTTTTATTTTTAGGTTCAACGATCATTTGAAATACCAGGTGTTAAAGCTCAGATGCCCACAATTGAAAGACAAACCTTGACTAAACTTTTTTACCTCTTCCCAGGCAATTAAAATCCATAAGTATCTTTATTTTTTAATTGATTTTATTATTTTCTTAAATACACGACAACAGTGGAATGCATTATAATCCTTATTACACATATAGAACACAATTTTTCATATCTCTGTATATAAAGTATGTTCATGTCAATTTATGCCATTATACGTGTACATTTTTTTTGCATTACAATTCCTTTTTTTAAAATGTTTATTTTTTAGCTTTAGGTGGACACAATATCTTTATTTTATTTTTATGTGGTGTTGAGGATCGAACCCAGTGCCTCACACATGCCAGGCAAGCGTGCTACCACTTGATCCATATCCCCAGCCCCAGCATTGCAATTCTTAATACACATATATACCACAATTTTTCATATCTCTGTTTGTATATAAGGTGTGTTGATACTCAATTCAAGTCTTCATACATATACTTTGTGTAAGTATCTTTAAATGATGTTAATAAATTCTGATGTGCTTAGAGTTAAGAGACAGAATGGTGACAGGTTGTGTCCAAATGGGCTATATTTGTATTTTTGTATTTCGTTTAATTCTTTTATTCTTACATTCTTCTAAAATCTATATAAAAAAATAGATAATGTTTTTTCTTTGGCCATGGACAAGCAGGTGATACTGATCCTGTCTTGCAGTGGCAAATAATTAAAAAACTAGGGAAAAAATTGAAACAACTATTTTCAAATACTGAACAATGAGCAGTAGGATTGATTTCATTGAGAGTAGAAAATCACAGAAGATGTAATTACACCTATACCATACATAGTTTTATGTCATGATAAAATTTTAGCATACAATTCAGGGCAAGGTAATTTAAGGAAAATAATGAGAGTTTCACTGAATTGAGAAGACAGAACAGAACTCAGGTATGCTGAGGCAGATATTAATTTCTAAGAGAAATTCATTCTCTTAGAATATCCAGAAATAGAGATATGCAAAGAACTCCAGAGAGCTAAAGAGTGTGCCAACAAGTCTTTGAATATCATTCTGCACACTCATGGGATGACCAAGAACCAAAGAAAAAGAAAAACACTGCTCTGCTAAGATCATCGACTGAATGTTCACACAGCAAGGGAAAATGGTTTATTTCTAATGAGGCCATTAAGAATCAGAATAATCAGCAGAGATCTCACAGAGGTCATGGCTTCACAGAGCAGAAAAAATAGTCCTGGAACAAAAGCTACTCTAAACCTTATCAACACTTAAAAGCAGGACTCTGTAAGAAAAAGCAGAACAGTTGAGCTCTATAAAAACTTTTTCACAAGATGCTGTTCAGGAAATTAAAAGACAAGCCATAGTCTGGAAGAAAATATTCATAATGCTTTCTTTTTGACAAAGATCTTTCATCAATCATCTTTAAGGAACACTTTATAACTCAATAATAACAAAACAAACTATTTAGTAAAACTGGGCAAATAATTTGGACATTTTAACAAAGAAAATACATAAATTGCATGAAGTGATGTTTAGCATCTTTAATGATCAGGAAAATGCGAATTGAAATGACAATAAAATATTAATAAGGTGGTCAAAATCTACATGTAACTCAAATATCTGTCACCATGCTACTGGGTAAGCTAATTATTATGTATCCATAGAGGGCAATGCTTCTCACTAATGAAGGGCATGAACTTTCCCTATACACATCAAAGTAGAAAATCCTCCAAAGTATTTTATTGATCCAAAGAATTCTTATACAAACAGTACATAATACTGTATAACTCCATTAATATTAGTACTAGCAAAACTAACATGGTGACAGTAATCAGATCTGTGGTTTCCTTGAGCGAGTGGCTGGTATAATTGTTCACAATTATGCTTCTTAAGATAATGTAAGTATTCTATGAGCAGACTTCAGTAGTGTGTACATTTAGCAAAACACACTGAACTTTACACCTAAAATAGGTATATATTATTATGTGCCAATTATTCCACAATAAAGTGAATTAAAGATGACAAAGATGAGCAAATTAAAGAGTTTAAATATTGATGGTACACATAAGTTTGAATAGAGATTATTGGGGATGTACCTCAGTGGGTAGAGTGCTTGCCTTGCATGCACAAGGCCCTGGGTTCAATCCCCAGCACCAAAAAAAAAAAAAAAAAAAAAAAGTTTTGAATAGGGATTTAATCAGATGGACTAACCCAACTAAAGTTGTGTTCATGTGTTACTGAAAGGAAAGTGAGGAACCAGGAGACAGGAGAGTGAGAAAGGTGAGACTAGGCAGAGATAAGCACAGGAATTTACTTGTCAGAACTGACAAATAAAGGCCATCTCTCCATAGACAATAGAACCAATATAGGCTTGAGGTTCAAGACTTTTATGGGGGAGGCTCGGAGATTACAGCCAGGTGGGTCCTAATGTGGGCAGTTTGGGGTGGAGTTGGTATGAGGGAGTGGTAAGCCTTTTTCAGAAAGGCCCTTGGGTGGGAAAGTGAAATTTTTCTTAAATTTTTCTTAAGATGGCCATCCAGATGCTAAGCAAGGACCTTACAGTTATCAGTATGAATGACCTTAACTCAAGTGGTAGCTTGCTCACCTAGCATTCACGAGGCACTGGGGGCGCTGGGTTCCATCCTCAATACCACATAAAAATGAAATAATAATAATAATAATAATAATAATAATAATACACCTTAGTATCAACTCTGGTGAAAGCAGTTGTTCAGTGGACTAATGCTCAGGTACTAATAGGTAGCATAAGGTATTTTTAGTCCTTGCTTATGTTGATAGTGCTCTCATGCCATAAGCAATCTCGTGATGCAACTCAGAGGTTATTAAGTTAAACTCTATGCAGAGAATTTTGTATGAGTCATTTTTTCAATTACTTATGGTAGTACATTGAATTTTCTCAAATCAAAACACTTCTAAATATGTATGAGTCAGAAATTTACTTATTTAGGCAAATAGCGCTTATTATATTGAGAAACAGAGATATTTCATTGTACTTAAATGTAAGAACATACTTCAAAGTTTTATTCTGAAATAAACTTCATTTATTACTTCCATTATCACCAAAATTCTTCCTCATCATATGTAGTATACCTGTAACCTTTCTGGACTCATAGAGATATAGTTTGGAATGATGGATTTACCATGATTGTGTTGAAGCTGTTCATTATTTCAGGTATTATTCCTGAGAGATTACTATCATACATTATGTCCTCTTGTTTCTCTTTTTTCTGAAGAAAGTCACAGGAACCACTCCCTACCAATCTAGTAGGATATTTACAATTTTTTTTTTCCCAATAAGATGAAAAACAAATGAACTGGTATGTATTCACATTACCTTTTGTGGCAGTTGTCCATGAAGAAGAGGGTTGGGGTAGCCTGGAGAATAATAGTAAGGAGTAGAAGCTAAATTAATGTAACTGAACAAGCTTCATTTCTGATAATTTCACTGTAGTAACACCCGCTCCTACACACACACACACACACAAAAAAAAAAAATCTTAATTGAACTTCTCCAGGGACCCTCACCATAATTGTTCTTAGACTCTCAACAAGAATTTCTGCAAAAGAATTTTCAGGCGGGGAGTGTTTGCAGAAGGTGAGAAAGATAAGAGAAGCTAACTCAAGGCCTCCCAACCTGGGTCCAGAGTCCTCACAGAGGCTTTTGCATTACAAAGTTCAGTAGTTTGATCCTGGGGAAGGGGGGATGGGGGAAGAACTCTCCCTTTCCCAGGCACTGATTTTCACAGAGAGTGTCCTTGGCCTGAATTAGTTGCCCAGAAGTATAGGAAAAAACCCTACTCTTATGTAGACTTCTACATATTGTGAGCCTTTGGGTATAGAGTTCTAAAACACTGGGTATAGAGTTCTAAAACTTTCTGAACTTGGGGTTCAGAAGGATTAAGTGATTGTAGCAAAAGTATTTCTCCCTCTGGACCTGGCTGTAGCCAATAAACCTGCTTCCTGCTAATTCCTCCATGTCCAGCCTTGTCTGTCCTACTTCACACCATGATTCCTGTGGTCCACAGTTCCTGACTCTGGATTTCCTTTAAGAAGCGATGTCAACATAGAAGTCTCTGCTTTCATTCTTAAAAGTCTGAGGTTCTGTCAATTACTTTCTAGTTTTGGAATTTTGTAGTATCCAAGAGAGAAGTTGCATCATACTCATCTACTGGGTATTTCCAATTGTATCATATTAACAATATTAAATACCTAGAATAGTTCCAGGTGTTAAGGATAAACTCAAGATTATCATTATCCAGGACAGCTTGTGGAATGAAAAGTTGTATGGCATCTTCATGTAGGAAGAAAATAAAAATTATTGGCAAGTTCATCTTTATAGAATATTTTCTAATTACCTGATCTGTGCACCTTGAGTGTATATCACTTGGGACCTGCCCTTTTGTGTTTTATAACCTTTTCTTCCAGTAAATTTTCATGTAGAGAGTGTATTTATTCCTCTTTTTACTGCTATGAAAGTACATATTTCTGAGAGTAGAAACTCTCTGTGGACAGTTAGTCTAAATTCTGCTCCTTATTCCAAAATTTTTTGTGTCTGTAACCCACTGTGATATTTATGAATTATTTATTGCCATGTAATACGTTGTCCCAAATTTTAGTGGCTTCAACACAACAATGAATTGATATCTCACCCTTTCTGTGACAGAAATCTAGGCAATAGGAAATCAATTTGATGATGGTCATGATCTTTTAAATGTGTTGTTTAAGTAAATTTGCAAGTATTATATTAAGGAGATTTTCATCAACATTAATGACAATACCAGCCTAGGCTTTTCTCTTGTGTGCTTTTGTCTTTATCAGATTTTGGTATCAAGGAAATACTGGTTTCACAGAATGAGTTTGATGAGTTCCTTCCCTTTCTAACTTATGTAATGGTTCAAGGAACATTAGTGATAATTCTTTTAAAGTATGGTAAAATTCAGTTGTGACTCCATCCAGTCCTAGGCTTTTCTTTGTGGAAGACTTTTTATTACTGTTTCAATCTCATTTCTTATAATTGATCTGTTTTGACTTTTTTTTTTAATTTTTTATTGTGGGTTGTTCGAAACATTACAAATTTCTTGACATATCATATTCCACACTTTGATTCAAGTGGGTTATGAACTCCCACCTTCACCCCATACACAGATTGCAGATTCACATCAGTTACACATCCATTGATTTACAAATTGCCATACTAGTGTCTGTTGTGCTCCCCTGCCTTTCCCATCATCCACCCTCCCCCCTCCCCACCTCTCCCCTCCCCTCCCCTCCTCTCTCTCTACCCCCTCCACTGTATAACCCTGAGGGTCTCCTTCCATTACCGTGCAATTTCCCTTCTCTCTCCCTTTCCCTCCCACCTCTCATCCCTGTTAAATGTTAATCTTCTTCTCCTGTTCTTCCTCCCTACTCTGTTCTTAGTTACTCTCCTTATATCAAAGAAGACATTTGGCATTTGTTTTTTAGGGATTGGCTAGCTTCACTTAGCATAATCTGCTCTAATGCCATCCATTTCCCTGCAAATTCTATGATTTTGTCATTTTTTAATGCAGAGTAATACTCCATTGTGTATAAATGCCACATTTTTTTATCCATTCGTCTATTGAAGGGCATCTAGGTTGGTTCCACAGTCTTGCTATTGTGAACTGTGCTGCTATGAACATCGATGTAGCAGTGTCCCTGTAGCATGCTCTTTTTAGGTCTTTAGGGAATAGACCAAGAAAGGGAATAGCTGGGTCAAATGGTGGTTCCATTCCCAGGTTTCCAAGAAATCTCCATACTGCTTTCCAAATTGGCTGCACCAATTTGCAGTCCCACCAGCAATGTACAAGTGTACCCTTTTCCCCACATCCTCCCCAGCACTTGTTGTTTGACTTCATAATGGCTGCCAATCTTACTGGAGTGAGATGGTATCTTAGGGTGGTTTTGATTTGCATTTCTCTGACTGCTAGAGATGGTGAGCATTTTTTCATGTACTTGTTAATTGATTGTATGTCCTCCTCTGAGAAGTGTCTGTTCAGGTCCTTGGCCCATTTGTTGATTGGGTTATTTGTTATCTTATTGTCTAATTTTTTGAGTTCTTTGTATACTCTAGATATTAGGGCTCTATCTGAAGTGTGAGGAGTAAATATTTGTTCCCAGGATGTAGGCTCCCTATTTACCTCTCTTATTGTTTCTTTTGCTGAGAAAAAACCTTTTAGTTTGAGTAAGTCCCATTTGTTGATTCTAGTTATTAACTTTTGTGCTATGGGTGTCCTATTGAGGAATTTGGAGCCCGACCCCACAGTATGTAGATCATAGCCAACTTTTTCTTCTATCAGACGGCGTGTCTCTGATTTGATATCAAGCTCCTTGATCCATTTTGAATTAACTTTTGTGCATGGCGAGAGAAAGGGATTCAGTTTCATTTTGTTGCATATGGATTTCCAGTTTTCCCAGCACCATTTGTTGAAGATGCTATCCTTCCTCCATTGCATGCTTTTAGCCCCTTTATCAAATATAAGATAGTTGTAGTTTTGTGGATTGGTTTCTGTGTCCTCTATTCTGTACCATTGGTCCACCCGCCTGTTTTGGTACCAGTACCATGCTGTTTTGGTTACTATTGCTCTGTAGTATAGTTTGAAGTCTGGTATCGCTATACCGCCTGATTCACACTTCCTGCTTAGCATTGTTTTTGCTATTCTGGGTCTTTTATTTTTCCATATGAATTTCATGATTGCTTTCTCTATTTCTACAAGAAATGCCGTTTGGATTTTGATTGGCATTGCATTAAACCTATAGAGAACTTTTGGTAATATCGCCATTTTGATGATGTTAGTTCTGCCTATCCATGAACAGGGTATATTTTTCCATCTTCTAAGATCTTCTTCTATTTCTCTCTTTAGGGTTCTGTAGTTTTCATTGGATAAGTCTTTCACCTCTTTTGTTAGGTTGATTCCCAAGTATTTTATTTTTTTGAGGATATTGTGAATGGAGTGGTTGTCCTCATTTCCATTTCAGAGGATTTGTCGCTGATATACAGGAATGCCTTTGATTTATGCGTGTTGATTTTAAATCCTGCCACTTTGCTGAATTCATTTATTAGCTCTAATAGTTTCTTTGTAGAGCCTTTTGGGTCTGCTAGATATAGAATCATATCATCTGCAAATAGTGATAATTTAATTTCTTCTTTTCCTATTTTTATGCCTTTAATTTCTTTCGTCTGTCTAATTGCTCTGGCCAGTGTTTCGAGAAGTATGTTGAAGAGAAGTGGAGAGAGAGGGCATGTTTTGACTTTTATATACTTTTAGTTCAGTTTTGGTAAGTTATATGTCCACAGAAATTTCTCTAATTTTTCTATATTTTCCAATTCATTGGCATATGATCTTTCATAACATTTTCTAGTGATCCTATGATTTTCAGTGATATCTGTTATAATATCTTTTTAATCTCTTCTTTTTGTTTTGTTTTCATTCCAGGGATGAAAGGATGGTTCAACATACACAAATCAGTGAATGTATTATAGCACGTAAATAGGATCAAGTGTAAAAATCTCATACTCATCTCAATTGAAGTAGAAAAAGCCTTTGATAAGATTCAAAATCATTTCATGATAAACCACTAAATAAGCTAGGCATACGGGGTCATTCATCAATACAATAAAGGCTACATATGACAAACCATAGCCAACAACATACTGAATGGGGAAAAACTTAAAAGCATTTCCTCAAAACTCAGGAATAAGACAGTGGTGTCCACTTCACCATTCTTATTCAACATAATGCTAGAAATTTTAGCCAGAACAATCAATCAGGAGAAAGAAATAAAAGGGGTACAGGTAGAAAAGGAGAAAGTAAAATTACCTTGTTATGCTCGAATTCGGGACCCCCAAAAGACCACCAGAGACCAAGATCGATGTAGCAGCAAAGAGGTGTTTATTGTGAGCTAGCTCGGTCCTCCGTGCACACACACAGCAACTGGTGATGCTGAGAGGCTCCGAGCCCAGGGTTTGCAGCAGTTTTATACACTCTTTGGGGGAGGCGGGGACCTCCACATACATCATAGCATCTCTTAGCAAATCATTACACACCACAGGAAAATCATAAAACAACTCTAAAACATGATTAGCACATTCACTGGTGGGAACAAGTTGAGTAAGGATGATTGGCCAGTACAAGAGGGGGATTCATTTGAACTGATTGGTTTAAGCCATGAGAGGAGTACATGGTTTCCCAACATGTTATCAACCACCATAAACTATTGGGAGGGTCATCTGGCATCCCAGTATTTCCCTGTCTCATGCTGATTGGTGGCTGTTAGGGGGTTGATATGGGTCCCCACCTAGCCTAACTGAGTCAGGGACACCTGGCACAGTGCTCTGTGGGTCTTTCCAAGGACAA